AAATATACTTTTTAAAAGAAAAGAAATATATAAGAGATAACTGTGCGTCAAGAAGATCAAGTTTAGAAGAACAAAGATGGAAGAGATTGATTTAACAGCAGAATGTATTAAAAATTACTGAGAGGTTTTGGTTGACAGCATTGTGTGAGTCATCCATGTGATTTGGGTAACAACAAATAAGAAAATGAAGAAAAAGGAGAAGAATGTGAAATTTTTTAGAAAAGGAAGCTGAGTGTCTGGTTTTACACCAGGGAATTGTGGTTGTTTCTAGGTATTGTGGTTTTAGAAGGACTTAGGCCAGAATAGCAATCATTGTTGAAAGCATTTTATTTTTTAAAACATATTTTATTGATTTTTCACAGAGAGGAAGGGAAAGAGATAGAGAGTTAGAAACATCGATGAGAGAAGACATCGATCAGGTGCCTCCTGCACACCCCCCACTAGGGATGTGCCCGCAACCAAGGTACATGCCCTTGACCAGAATTGAACCTGGGACCCTTCAGTCCACAGGCCGACGCTCTATCCGCTTGAAAGCATTTTAAAAAGACTTGTTGAAAATATCAATATAGACAAACTATCAAGATAGCCAATAGGCTAACACAATAAAGAAGATATAGGGAGAAAGCACAAAAGGCAAAATAAGAAATGATAATGGAGAAGTAACCAATGAAACAAAAAAAATTATCAGATTATTTTTAGGTCTATGCAAATGCTTTTTAAACATTCATGAAATGAATCAATTTTGGGGAAGTTCTTATTAAAATTGCTAGAGAACAAATTTAAACAGACTGATTTTTGTAGAAGAAATGAAGTTATTAAGGAACTATTCCTCAAATAAGGTATCAGGCCCAGATTATTTTATAAGGGAATTCTATCAAACCTCCATGTATCAGAGAGTTCCAAATCTTTATAATTATTTCAGAGAATTAAAAATGTACAGAAACTTCCTACTTCATATGAAGTAAATGTAATATTGATATCTAAATAGGATAAAGACAGTGCAAAAGGAAAACTACAGACTAACATTTATGAGTACCTATGAAGAAGTGTCATATATAGTACTAATAACTATTTTATTAATAATAGAATCCAACACCATAATAAAAATATAATTCACTATGATCTGGTGAGTTTAATTCCAAGAATTGAAGGTAGGTTTATTATTAGGAAATCCATTAATATCATATAGTAAGACTAATAGGTTTCAGGGAAAATAATCATAAAAGATTATCTCCATAAATGCTAACAAACTTTCAGAATTCAACATCCATTCCTCATTTAAAAAAAAACAAAAAAAAACAAAAAAACAAGAAAATAAGACTTGATGAATACTTTCTTAATATGAGAAAAATATATATAGTACTAATGCCAGTAACTTACTAAATTGGGAAGCACTACAACAAAGAAAAACTATTTCTTTTTACAATTGATGTGATAGTAATCCTGGAAACCACAAACCTATATAATAAAGAGCTAATATGGAAATGGTCATCATGCCCTCACGCCATCACATCATAATGGCTCAGACACTCAACGCTGGGGAGAGAGAAATGAGGACCAGCCACACACAAATGAGCGAGAGAGAGAGAGAGAGAGAGAGAGAGAGAGAGAGAGAGAGAGAGAGAGAGAGAGAGAGAGAGAGGAATGGGGGCCAGCCAAGGTGCAGCCCTGAAGAGGGATGAGGTGCCAGCGGCTGGGGCTGTGGCCTGAGAGAGGGATAAGGCGCCCGCCCCACGGTCCCAGGCATCAGAAGCAGCCCAGGAGAGGGACAAGCTGCATGCTCGGTGGTCCCTGGTGCCTGTGGCTGCAGCCTGGGCAAAGCTGCCCGCCCACAGTCCCCTGTGGCTGTGGCCAGTCCAGGTGAAGCCAGCCCTGGTCCTGGGTGCCTGTGACTGGTCAGAGGGAGGGAAGCATGGGCCCAGGTGCCTGCAACCAGCTGGAGGAAAGAATCCTGGGTCCTGGTCCTGGGTCCTGGGTGCATGGTGAGGCAGAGGCGGTTAGGGACGATCAGGCTGATAGGGAAGCAGTTAGGGACAATCAGGCAGGGAGGCAAGCAGTTAGGAACCAGCGGTCCCAGATTGTGAGAGGCAGCTGGACATTCCCCGAGGGATCCCGGATTGGAGAGGGTGCAGGCTGGGCTAAGGGACTAGGCTGGGCTAAGGGTCTCTCCCCCTCCCCCCACCCAGCCTGCCTGGCATGAATTCCATGCACTGGGCCTCTAGTCCTATATAATAAAAGCATAGTTTGCATATTGTCCCCTTGACCAGGAGGTCATCCTGGAGTTCAACCAGGGGGCGGGACCTGCTAGGGGAAGGGAGAGAGGCCCAGGTTGGCAACTGGCAGTCACTAGGGACCCTACTAATGCAGGAATTTCATGCATTGGGCCTCTAGTCACTGACAAAATTCAAACAATTAAAAATAAAGTAACAGTTTGTAAGGGAAGTCTTTGTGATGTTTTTGCCACTTTTATGTGACAAAATTATTTCAAAATGAACAGTTAATAAAATAAAAAAATAATACCGTGTTTCCCCGAAAATAAGACATCCTCCAAAAATAAGACCTACTTACAGGTTTCCTTCTGAGTGAAATATAAGGCATCCCCCCAAAATAAGGCCCCCCCCAAGCTAAACATGAGAGATTTGGTCCACTGATTCTGAAAGAAATGGAGTCACAAGAAATTCACCAGGAAATTAAGGAATTGGATTGTTATGATGATGTTCCAGAAGATGATGACATGATTGTCATTGAATAAATGAGTAAATTCTTGATACTGTAGGATTCACAGTTTGTCTGGTTTGTGTTGACAACTGCCATACTACCGTACCGTATACAGGTAATAAATTTCCTTTATTTTCATTTAACAATAAATGTGTACCGTATTCTTCTTCATGGAAAAAATAAGACATCCCCTGAAAATAAGATCTAGCGCATCTTTGGGAGCAAAAATTAATATAAGACACTTTTAAAAAATATATATATATATTATTGATTTTGTACAGAGAGGAAGGAAGAGAGAGAGAGAGAGAGAAATATGAGAGTCATCGATCAGCTGCCTCTTGCACACCCCCTACTGGGGATATGCCCGAAACCAAGGTACATACCCTTGACTGGAATCGAACCCGGGACCTTTCAGTCCCCAAGCCAACATTCTATCCATTGAACCAAACCGGTTTCAGCAAGACACTGTCTTATTTTCGGGGAATCAGGGTACTATGGATTTTGGCCCAGCTGATGTGGCTCAGTGGTTGACATCAACCATTGAACCAGGAGGTCACGGTTTGATTCCAGGTCAGGGCACATGCCTGTGTTGCAGGCTTGATCTTCAGTAGGGGGCATGCAGGAGGCAGCTGATTAATGATTCTCTCTCATCATTGATATTTCTCTCTTTCTCCCTCTCCCTACCTCTCTGAAATCAATAAAAAATATATTTTAAAAATACTTAGGGTTCTAGCAGGTTTGGCTCAGTGGATAGAGCATGGACCTGTGGACTCAAGGGCCCCGAGTTTGATCTCAGTAAGGAGCATGTGCCCGGGTGGTAGGCTCGATCCCCAGTGGGTTTCATACCATGTCCTAGCTGTGGGGACATTGGACAAGTTACATGATCTCTCTGAACCTCATCCATCCATTGGAGATGATACTGACCCTTCTGTGCTTTTTGATGATTGAATTAGATGATGATAATGATGAAAATAGAAATGACCATTTAGCATCAATTGTGCAGCAGTCCTGTACCAGGTATGTTCATTAGCTGTATAAAACACAAATGATATTTAGTTCATGGTAGGTACTTAGTAAATATCTTCCCCCCCACCCCCCACTTCTTGCTGATCACAGTGATGCCTGTAGTTTGTCAGTAGCTGATTGATTGTTGCCTTAGTACTGTCTTCACAAAGGACCTTATTTATTCCCACAAATCAACCTAGAGAAAATAAGGAAGATTTAATTTAAGCCCAGGAAGCCGCCAATGACTAATTGCCAACATCACTTTATTAAGGAAGTACTTGGGGCCGAGAAGTCAACGGAAGTTTAACCAAATTATAATTTAATACTTTAGCCCTTTCACTTAATTTTTAGGTTCAGGGTCTTGGGCTTCTACAGAAACCAGACAGAGTGCTGCCTGTACTATGACACTGTTCGTGTGCTCCTTTGATATTTCATGCCCATCTTCAGAACAAATAATCAGAATAAGTACCTGCATGCAAACTGCAAGCTCTGTGCAAGGGACAAGTGGAACATGTAAGGTCATCCAAGGGTTTGGATGAGCTGTATGTCCCTACCTGGGCCTAGCCGGCGTCTGAGGACACTGGACACTAGCTTTGCCGGAAATAAATGAAAGTGTCCCCTCCCCCAGTCTTTCCTTAGTTTTCAGGAACACTGCTTACCATAGCCTTCCTTTGGTAAGTTTGTGCAGGTTTTAGGTGACTAGATCCTCTTTGACAATATAAAGCTCGGATTATAACTAACTTTGTAGCAATCCCGGATTATAGGCTCAGGAGAAGAAATCTTAGGCTCAGTATGAGATGATTTCCCTTAAGTCTCATTGTGAAAAAAGCAGCTGGGGAAAGGCAGTTCTGAGTTTGGTTTACTTTTATTCCTGATCCCCGAGATCAATGCTTATGACTATCACAGCCCATTGTTGGGTTGCTGGTGGCAGTGATTACACCAAAAACTGGCTGTGGTTGTGGGCCTGGACCTCATTCAGGCAAAACTCACGGAAAGCAGGAGTCATAGTCCTTGACACACTTGTCTCCTTAATTGTGTGTACACTGCCATCCTCGTCAGAGGTTAGCTGGTCCTTGGAGACTAAAGTAAGACTAGGGGATTTTAAAACATGCTATAGGCCTTGCCATCTTTCTTCTTTCTTTCCTTAAAAGCTCCTCCTCCCTCTCAGTGTGACACATTGCCCACCGTAGCTCAACCTCATATTCGGCCTTGCATGTGCAGGGTGGAGGTAAAGAATAATAGGCACCTTCCCCTTACTTCCATCTTTCATTTTTTAGCAGCAACTGCAGGCGTACGTGGCCTGGGTGAATGCGCAGTTGAGGAAGAGCCCAGCAGTGAAGCCCGTGCAGGACCTGCGACAGGACCTTCGGGATGGGGTGATCCTGGCGCATCTCATCGAGATTGTTGGTCAGTTGGCCTTGGATTCTATGCTAGCATAAACCAGAACTTGACCTCCTTTATCCTTCATATGCCTTTCAGAACTGATGGCTTCTTCTTTAAAACGTATGGCATCGAGCATCAGCCCTTGGACTGAGGGTCCACAACTCCCTTCAAGGGCACATACCTCGGTTGCATGCTTGTTCCCTGGCCCTGTTCGGCACATACAGGAGGCAACCAATCGATGTGTCTCTCTCACATCGATGTTTCTCTCTCTGTCTCTCCCTCTCCCTTCCACTCTCTCTAAAAATCAATGGAAAAATATCCTTGGGTGAAGATTAACAAAGTAAATAAATCAGTAAATATATATTTGTAAATAAAATCTATGGCACTGAAAGTAGGGAAGCCAGAATACTTTTCCCAGCCTAAACTGGTTTGGCTTAGTAAATAGAGCATTGGCCTGCAGACTGAAAGGCCCCGGGTTCAATTCCGGTCAAGGTCATGTACCTTGGTTGCGGGCACATCCCCAATAGGGGGTGTGCAAGAGGCAGCTGGTCGATGATTCTCTCTCATCGATGTTTCTCACTCTCTATCCCTCTCTCTTCCTCTCTGTAAAAATCAATAAAATGTATTTTTTAAATAAAAAATAAAATAAGAATACTTTCCCAAAGTTAATTCATTTATTAATTAGTCAGTAAACACTGCTGTGTGCCAGGTACTGTGCTGGGATCATGATAATAAACACAGTCTAAGCTCTCAAGAGCTCCCCTCCCCCCAGTCTAGTTGGAAAGACTGGGAAGTGATAGGGCACCTAGCAGGGGATCACCCAGCCCAGTTCTGGAAATTCAGTAGCTTGTTAGAGAAATCGATGTCTAAACTGAGGCTGGAAAAGGAGCACAGATACTGACTGCCATGTGCTCCATGGAAGGGCTGGTCCTTTTGGAGCCTGAGAGTTGTTGACTCTCGCTCTTGTAGATGGTGCCTTAACCTTATTTTCATAGCATTTGTATGTGGCTCTGTTGTTATTTTATTTCCTTCACTGAATGATAATTGCTCAGCCATCTCTCCAGTGTACACTGAGCTCTTTAAGAGCAGGTATAGCATTTTTTTCCCTTTGTACTTTTGGTTCCACAACTCCTACCCAAGTGTCTGGAACATGACAGGTACTCAAACACAGGTTGTTGTATTAGTCAGCTGACCTCACTGAGAGTCATTAGAGTTTTCATTGATAATGATGGTAACAATGGTAATAGTAGTAGCAGCTGCCATTTGTTGAATACTTTCTATCTTGTTTATATATATATATATATACTTTCACTTAATCATAAACCCTTTAGAAACAGCTAATTTATCCCCATTTTGAGGAAACAAGCTTAAAAAAGATGATTTATAAAAATAAATTCATTGAGCAATAAGAATATATCAAGCATTGTGCTAAGCATGCTACTTTGATTGATGTATGACATGGGTATGATATGAGTGCCACTCTCTTATTTTATGAGATTTAAAAAGGCTAGGCAGCTTGCCAAAACTGGTTTGGCTCAGTGGATAGAGCGTTGGCCTGCAGACTCAAGGGTCCTGGGTTTGATTCCGGTCAAGGGCACATACCTTGGTTGCGGGCGCATTCCCGGTGAGGGGTGTGCAGGAGGCAGCTGATAGATGTTTCTCTCTATGGATGTTTCTAGCTCTCTGTCCCTCTCCCTTTCTCTCTATAAAAAAAAAAAAAATCAATAATATATATATATATATATATATATATATATATATATATATATATTTTTTTTTTTTTTTTTTTTTTAAAGGCTAGGCAGCTTTATAGATCACGTAACTGTATGTGTTAGAGCAGTGGTATAAACCTAGATCTGCTTTCATTCCAAGCACATTCTAAACATTTAATTTTTCACTTATTTCAATAGATTATACTTGAAAATATAATCAGATAAAAAATAAACCAGCCGGGACTGGTTTGGCTCAATGGATAGAGCGTCGGCTTGGGGACTGAAGGGTCCCGGGTTCGATTCCGGTCAAGGGCATGTACCTTGGTTGCGGGCATATCCCCAGTAGGGGGTGTGCAAGAGGCAGCTGATCGATGACTCTCTCTCATCGATGTTTCTAACTCTCTATCTCTCTCCCTTCCTCTCTGTATAAAATCAATAAAATATATATTTAAATAAATAAATAAATAAAAATAAACCAGAAGGTACAAAAGGGTATAAAGTCAAAAGCCTTTTTTTCCACCTCTGTCCCTCTGGCAGCTACCTGTTTATTCTGGGGCAATTAGTGTACGCAGTTTTTGCATTTCTTTCCAGATATATTCTGTACATATACAAGCAATTTGAATGTGTCCATTTTTCCAAAACCCAAGTATTTTTGTGACATTCCGTTGTAACTTTGCCTTCTAGAAAAGTTCACTGAATTCACTTCCTTTCCCCATTCCTTATTTAACCCGCCCTCCTCAGGCTTTGGATCCCACTATTCCACTAAAACTTGTATAGTATTTATATATAATCTTATTCTTTCCATCAAATATTCCCTTTCTCTGTATCTGGCTAGATGAGACTTTGAAATTACTTCTTCTTATAACTTCATATATTTTCTATCTTCTAACAGCAGGAGAAAAGCTGAGTGGGGTACAGCTGAGTCCCAGAAACCAACAGGAGATGAAGAATAATGTGGAGAAGGTGCTGCAGTTTGTGGCCTCCAAAAAGATCCGTATGCACCAGACTTCAGCTAAAGGTCAGTGCCTCTTCGCGTTCTTGGTGGGCGAGTACACTCATCTTTGGCTGGCAGTTGCTCAGTGTGTAGTCAAGGGATCCGATTGACAGGAGGAGGATTAGCCCTATGACTTCATGTCATTTTCCCTGTAAAGAAACTTATCGGGACAAAGTGATTATCAAAATTTGACTGCTTTGGAAACGTGGGTGAAGACAGAAGTTCTCTATTCATTTTAATTGAATAAAGGTTTGCTTGACTGTATGTAGGACAATTAATAGAGAAGAAATTACAAAATTGGGACATTAGTTTTAGAATTTCTCATTTAAGTAATAAAAAGGAGGATAGCTTATGTTTTTGAAGTTCCTATGGTTTCATGACCAATAATTATTTCACTTCATAATAGCCTACATTTTTTTCCATCCAGTTTTCCTGGAGGGAAAAATGCTGGAAAATATTTTCTAGCAATTTTTTCTTTTACATCACAGAATATTCCTGGTAAGATGGGTGGTGAGGGGCTCTGTGACCTCAGCACATGCCCTCTCCTGTAGCCACGTGGCCAGAGGGGACACTTCTCAGGCCCCTTGAGCCCAGGCTGCAAGGAGGAAAGGGTGTACGGTGTCTTCGGAAAGCACAGGCCACTAGTCCTCTCTCCATTTCTCTAGAACTGACTGTAATCCGGTTCTGTTTCAGCCTCAGTTTCTGGGCCTGCTTACCTGTGACTCTGGTGAGAATGGGGGAGGAGGGGGCACTCCTGTCATGTTTCTGTTACTGATGTTCTCTGAGTTGGGGTCATTCAGGAAGGGTAGATGCTAACCATTGAGAGCACCCTGTAGAAGGTATCAATCAATTCTTTCAAAACCTTGCATATCTAAAAGGCTATGCAACTAAAAACAAAAATGGAATTTTACCAATTTCCTTACATTAACTTTCACCAGACCTATCACATTTTTTCTGCCTGCATTCCTTTTTCTTTTCTAGGGCAAATTTAGAATGCGATAATCTCTTTCATCTGGTCCCCATTAGGAGTGGGCTTGGGGATCTAGCCCATTAAAGTCAACTATTTTTAGGGAACACTGCTGCTCAGGACCTCGCAGTCTTTTACCTGGCTTCCTGATTAGTCCCACTGCATTGATGTTTGTCCTCCTCCCATCTGCCCTCCACGTTGCCGCCAGAAGGCTCTTAGCATGAGCAGTCCTCTGCCTCGGAGGGTCCTTCGGATAAAGTCCGCAGTCCTTCCCATGGCTTATCGCGCCCTTCCTGCCCTGACCTCTGCTGGACTCCATTCAGCTCCTCCCCGCAGAGCTGTGCCATAGAAGCATAACGAGAGTCACATGTGTAATGTAAAAGTTTCTAATAGCCACACTGAACAAAAAAAAAAAAGTGTGAAACCAGTTTGAATGATAAATTTCTTTAACTCAATATATCCAAAATATAATTTCAAAATGAAAACTATTAATGAGATATTTTGCATTCTATTTTTTTTTGTACTACATCTAAGGAAATATTTTGCATTCTGTTTTTGGGTATGCATGTGCTACGTAAATACAGCACTCACAGCACATTTCAATTCAGACAATAGCTACCTTTTAAGTGCTCAGTGTAGCTAGCGGCTCCCACCCTAGACAGCGAGGCTCCAGGATGTCATGCTTTCTCTTGCCTCTAGACTTCGTGCTTGCTGCTCCCTCTTCTCCTCCATCGATGGACCACCATTCATCAACCAAGTCTCAGCTTAGAGCTCCTTCCTCTGGGAATCCTGAGCCCTCTACACTAGACACGATGCTTCTACTCTGAACCCCCAAGGAATCCTGTACTTTTTCTATCATAACATGTTACTATACTTCATTGTAATTGCTTTTACTTATTTATTTTTTTAAATCTTTATTCAGATTATTATAAATGTTTCTCATTTTTTCCCCCCTCCATGCTCCCCTCCACCAGGTTCCCACCCCACCTTCTGCCCTTTCCCCACCCCCCATTGTCCTCATCCATAGGTGCACAGTTTATGTTCAGTCTCTTCTCTCACCCCCTTCTCCCCCTTTCCCCAAGAATCTTCAGTCCACTCCCCTTCCATACTCTGAATCTATTATATTCAACAGTTACTATTGTTCATCCGATTTTTTTAAATTCCCTTGGTTTTTAGATTCACTTGTTGATAGTTACGTATTTGTTGTTCATAATTTTTATCTTTATTTTCTTCCTCTTCCTAAAGAACCCCCTAATTGCTTTTAAATCTTCTGTGTCCCTGTTGAACACGGCTTTGTGAGGTCAGAGAGCTTGGCTGCCTCGCTGACCTGCATCCTAGAAAGTGTGTATTCAGTGAATGAGGCCTCAGCCTTCCACCTCCCTCTGAGGGCCTCTCGGTCTGTTCTGTCCCCCAGACATTGTGGAAGGAAACCTGAAGTCTATCATGAGGCTGGTCCTTGCCTTGGCAGCGCACTTCAAACCTGGCTCTGGCAGGACGGTGAGCCAAGGACGGGACTTCAGAGCCCCTCTGCAGAGCCACCAGCCACACTGCGCCACAGCTGTGGCCCAGGGAGCAGCTGCGGCTCTGGCCGATGTGTGTCATGACATGTCACGCTCAGGACGGGACGTCTTTCGGTACAGACAGAGGTAAGGGTGGGAATCTGAGAATGGAAACTGGACTGTCTTTGAAATTTTCCCCTTAAATGTTTATCTGCGGTAGATGGAAACATCACCCAGACAGCCCCACGTTGCAGAAAACAGCACTTTGAGAGAGAAAAGCCCTTTCTTTTGAAGAGTTCTGTTCGCAGTCGGCAGGAAGTGGGTGAATGACATGGGTAATCTGTTGCTCTGGTGCCCAGAATCGTAGAGAGATGCCATTGGCTCGGTGTGTTTTCTTCCCTGGGAGCAATGTTCCATTCCTCCGCGGGAGTCTCTCCCTGGAATGTGTCCTGAAGGCCAAGCCGCCGCCGGAGTCACGGCAGGAAATGCCTTGGCGGCTGTGTGTGCGCTAAGCGTGACCCTGAGGTGTTGCGAAGATTGGTGAAGTTATGCGCTTTTGTATCTGTCTTCCCTGCTAGGTTCCAAGTGTCCCTGAGGCAGGGGCTTTGCCTTATTCATCTTTCCTGTAGTGCTCACAAGAGGGCCATCGGTCAGTACTTGCTGGGGTGAAGCGAAGGACTGACCCTTCTCCTTTGCTGGTGTCCTCTGGCTTTAGGAACAGCAGCACGGACGAGGAGATCGAGAATCCGTACTGGAGCGTGCGAGCTCTGGTGCAGCAGTACGAAGGGCAGCAGAGGTCCCCGTCTGAGTCCAGCTGCTCCAGGTAACCGGGCCTCAGATTCTTTACCACTCCAGTTCTAGCTAAAAGCTGAGTTCTTGAGGAGTCTTGAGGTTCTTAGCCTCATAGTAGCAATACAACAGGACATGAGGCACCTAAACCCGTTCTCTTTCCCTCCTATTATGTTTGGCCTTAAAGGGGTAGAACCTCAGCACTGCCTCATGGTTTTGTGCTGGCAGGAGGGGGGGTGGTGCTGTGAATTTCCCGCCTGAGGAAGCTTTGAGCAGAGCCAGAGTGCCAGTGCTGGGACCAGCCATGGTCCAGCCTGGTGGTTCGGATGTTGTACATCAGCTGCCAGTGTTTATGAGAACCAGTTCCATTGTCGGGGTATAACTAAGTTATGGCCTGAGGGGGCTGCATCAAGCTCCGAGCAAGAGAAAATGAGCAGAGTTGTCTTTAAAGCCGTGGTTGACAAACTGCGGCTCATGAGCCACATGCGGCTCTTTGGCCCCTTGAGTGTGGCTCTTCCACAAAATACCATGGCCTGGGCGTGTCTATTTTGAAGAAGTGGCGTTAGAAGAAGTTTAAGTTTAAAAAATTTGGCTCTCAAAAGAAATTTCAATCGTTGTGCTGTTGATATTTGGCTCTGTTGACTAATGAGTTTGCCGACCACTGTCTTAGAGCATTAGAATGTTTCCGACTTTCACTGACAGGGCTGGGAATTGTGACAGATTAGTACATATTTGAGTGGGCTAATGATTAGAATACATATGTGACTGTAGCTGAAAGACTGCCTATGTACCACAGAGTCAAATGGGGAGACCAAAACAGGACACAGTGTTCTCATAAAAGCCTGATCAGGAAGAGTAACCATGTAAGTTTCTTGATGGAAAAAAAAAAAAAAAAAAAAAAAAAGCCTGATCAATGCCAGTATAGTGACAGGAAAAGACTACTTTCCTGGCTTATGTAAATCATGCTCCTAGGAACACGTCCCCAGGCCAAGTTAGCTTATTTACTAACTTCATTTCATTGCTGAATTGTGTTTAATTTATGCTCTTTTGACCTTTTCTGTCTCCTACCTCAGTCCAGCTTAGGCTGTTCTAGTTAAGCCTAATTGCTCTTTGTCTTATAAGCATTTTATGTGTCTTTGGTGTTTTTCCTCATTTCTTTTTTCTCATAATATTCCATCTTAGTTAGATGGACCATTTCCTAGTCTATGGAGGTAACATGCAATTCTTTTCCCATTTTAATATTCTGGTAACCTTGCTCAGCTTTAATGGTCACATTTAATAGATGTGATTTCTTATGTATAAAATTCACAAAACATAAAGTTAACCATTAATCATTTTACTTTTTAAAAACCATCATCCAAGGACATGCTTTGAGAGAGGAAGGGGTGGGGTGGGGGGAGGAGAGGGAGAGGGAGAGGGAGAGGGAGAGGGAGAGGGAGAGGGAGAGGGAGAGAGAGAGAGAGAGAGAGAGAGAGAGAGAGAGAAAAGGAGAGAAGAAAACATCAGTGTGAGGGAGAAACATCCATTGGTTGCCTCCCTTCGTAAGTGTCCCAGGCCTGTAAGTTTCCCGTGCACAGGATGATGCTCGACCATCTAAGCCGCTCAGGCCCAGCCATCATTAAGCATTTTAAAGTGTACAATTCAGTGGTATTTAGTACTTTTATAATGTTTGCAACCATCCCCTCTATCCAGTTTGAAGACATTTCATCACCCCCAAAAGGAAAGAAACCCTGTACCCATGAAGCAATAGGCGTGCTTTTAGTGAGAATCCAAACCATTTCTTCCTTGCTTGCTTCTGAGGCTGTCACTCGGTACAGAATGTTTCCTTGTATGATGAGATCTATTGCTTCCTGTATGGTCACTGGCCTTTTGTTTTCTGTGCCTGATAGTGCCTGCCAGCGTTGGGGGTGGGGCGGGGGCGGTGTTTGGGGGTCAGGGGGAGCCCCGATTTCTTCCTGAGAACAGCTGCTTCCTTCCTCTCTGGCAGGACGCAAGCTGGGGCAGCCACCGTGCACGTGTGACTTAGTGATCCACTGGAACTCCCACCGAAGTGGGCTGAGGGGACAGTTTTCTGGGAGGGGCTCAGAGAGCAGTTTGCACCCCGCTTTCTGACTTTGACTTCTTCCTGATTTTGTTCTTTAGCTGACCGCTCACTCGCCTTGTTAGGGTGTTCAGTCAGCACCCTGCCTTTTCCTCAGCTTGCTCCCCGGGACCCAGCAGGCTTGAGCACAATCTGCTCCCCCCTCCACCCTTGCTCAGGGGGAGCCCATCTAATGGTTCAATGACCACGAAAGCCAGGAGGCCCGGGATGTGCCTGGGAGGGGGGAGAAGGTTAAGATTGGAAGATAGCCCTCAGTGTCCCTCCTCCAGGGACACCCTGCCGGCATGGTGCTTCCAAGACCTCAGGCCAGCCTCTCCCTGTGTCCAGGCAAAATGGGCCCCGTGGGTAAAAAGGCACACTCGGAAACGCCCGGAGGGGAGGTGGGGGAGATGGGCGTTCCGCGGCTTCCGGGGGAGACCGCACCTCAAGAAGCTGGCTTCTGCCGGGACCGGTTTGGCTCAATGGATAGAGCATCGGCTTGGGGACTGAAGGGACCCGGGTTCGATTCCGGTCAGGGGCATGTACCTTGGTTGCGGGCATATCCCCAGTGTGGGGTGTGCAAGAGGCAACTGATCGATGACTCTCTCTCATCGATGTTTCTAGCTCTCTATCTCTCTCCCTTCCTCTCTGTACAAAATCAATAAAATATATTTAAAAAAAAAAAAAAAAAAAAAAGAAGCTGGCTTCTGCCTACCCCGACCTCGGCGCCCACGAAGGGAGGGCTCAGGGTGGGGAAGGAGGGCTCAGGGTGGGGAAGGCAGCGTGTACAGATCGGGGTTCTCAGGGCCAGGACCAGCCCCCCTGGGGATTCTGCCCGCCGGCGGCCCCTCCCTGCCTGGCGGTGCTCCCCATGTCCCCTCCCGGCCGCGCCCCCGCCGGGCTCCGCCTGGGTCCGAGCCGGCGCTGCCCGCGGCGTGTGGCCGCTGGGGGGGGGGGGGGGAGACGAGGGGGGAGGACGGTCAGGGCGGGGCCGGGAGGGACCGGGAGGCGCTGCGAAGCTGGGTCCCCCGCCCGCTGGCCGCTGCCCGGGACTCGGAGCGTCCGGCGGCCGGAGATGGGTTGAGATGCCCGCGCCCCGGGCAGGACCCCGCCATGCGGCCGCTGGGGCCCGCAGCCTGCGAGGGGAGGCGGACCCGCCCCGCCCGGGCCGCGGCCGCGTCTGAGCTGCGGGCACCGCGCGCCGCGCGCCGGAGCATCCCGGTCCCCGGGCCGGTCCCCGGCCTCGCCGCCCGCCCCCGTCCCTCCCGCTGGCGGCCGGCGGTGCGGGTGGTGGACCTGCCCCCGCCCGGGGGGACATGCCCGCATCTGGGGGCGCTGTGCCTCGCAGCCCCCGGCGTCACCCCGGGAAGCGGGCTTGCTGAGCTCGCAGCCAGGAGGGACCATGGGAGGGATGCAAGTCAAATGGTGAGCGGAGGCCACTCTGGCTTTGGAGGAGGGGGCATGGGTGGGAGCGGAGCCCGGCCGGAGAACGCCAGTGGCCAGACGTGGACGGGGATGGAGGGGGCGCTGTATGGGGGAGAACAGGCTGCTGGCCTGGGGTTCTCACTGGAAATGCAGCGGGTGAGGGAGCTGGGGTTCTCACTGTGAAATACTGCGAGTGAGGGAGCTGGCGCCAGCATGGGGGAGAGTGGCCCTTTATCCTGTCTTGTCTCTGCTCAGGGAAGGCACTTCGGGGGGAACAGGACTCTCTCTCTTATGGCCCTTTACCTATTAAAAAAAATAATTTGACTCTAATTTGCAAGTATCTTTGCTGGGGGACGACCACTTTCTAATAAATGAAGGTTGTGAGATGTTAAACCTGTGGGAATTAAATGTATCAGTCAGACCTGATTTATAATCATTTGTTCCCTGATTTGAGAGGATTATGATGGCAGGTAGGGAGATTACTTGCTTATGAAATAGGGCTTCAAAGCACATCAGACAGAGCCTATAGCATGTAATTAATGAGTGTGAAAAATACTTTTCTCTGACTTGAGGAAGAGGATCTAATGCACCATCCTCATTCATGAAGTTCTTCTGGCCTCGGGATTTTTCTTCCTCGGTCCTTTCTCTTTTAACTTGGCCTTCTAGTTCCATGGCCTTAGCTCTCTGGCCTCACACACTGGCAGCCTCAATTCAAGAAAGAAAAATGTTGTTTTCTTCTGGCTGCTCGGCCACTCCCCCAGTGGGGTTGGTTATGCAGACATCCGCCTCCTTCTGCCCTTATGTGGGAGACAGCTCACTCAGGAGGGAGAAGGTGGAGCTGAGCATGCTCTCTGCTTTTAGGAAAGCAGCATCCTGGTTTGCACCCCCCCTCAACCCCCCCTCCTCTCACACCTTACCCACTGTGGCCCGTCCCAGTGCAGGCAGGGGACATGCCAACCACAGCACCTTGTCAGCTGAGAAGGTGTCTTTGTTCTCAAAGAGGAGCAGCTGCTTCAGGCCTCCTTCAGCACGTGATCCCAATTTCTGTCAGGCGAATGCTGAGGCCTGAGCAGTTATAAATTTGTTTCTTTTAAAAAATATATTTGTATTGATTTCAGAGAGGGAGGGAGATATAGAAATAGCAATGATGAGAGAGAATCATTGATTGGCTGCCTCCTGCACACCCTCTAGTGGGGATTGAGCCTGAAATCCGGGCATGTGCCCTTGACTGGAATTGAACCTGGGACCCTTTAGTCCACAGGCTGACGTTCTATCCACTGAGCCAAACCAGCTAGGGCTTAAATCTTTTTCTTTATAAATAACACTGGAGACCCGATACATGAAATTCATGCAAGGGGCTCGGCCTTCTTAGCCCCGGCTTCTCCAGAAGGTCGTCTGGAAGGATGTCCTGGAGGTTGTTCAGCTATACGGTCTAATTAGCATATTACACTTTTATTATTATAGATGGTGCCCTAGACTAGTGCTTTTCCAGCAGCTAGTGCAGGTTGGCCTGGAAGTCAGATTACCTAAATAGTGAAAGGTGGATAAGAGAATTCCATAAAGCTTTTTTAGAAATTCCTCTCTCTTTTTTAAAATTACACTTCATTTATTTTTAAATCATCACCTGAGGATATTTTTCCATTAATCTTTTAGAGAGAGGGAAAGAGAAAAAACATCGATGTGAGAGAAACACATTGATTGGTTGCCTCCTGCACGAGCCCCAAACATGGCCTGGGCTGGGGAGGAGCCTGCAACCGAGGTACCTGCTGCCCTTGACCTGAATCAGCCTGGGACCCTTCTTTCCACAGACTGATGCTGTATCCACTGAGCCAAACTGGCTAGGGCGCAATTACCTTTTCTTAAAACCACTTCTTGCCACTCTTCACCCCCCCTTGCTTGTTTGGTTCCTTTTTTTTAAGTTGAAGACGCAACAACTTTAATTTTTTGGTGTCCTAATAAGGATGAGAATGTATTACTGGTTGAGGGCATTCCCACTGAAGCCTTTAAACTTTGGACAACGACGAGGAGGAGAACCTAGTCCTCAGGTTGCGTCAGGGGCTCTGAATTCTCTAGGCACCTCCTCTGTGCTTGCCTCTTGTTTTCAATGGTTTCTGGAAAGAAGAAATGTGAACTCCGGATCGTGGCTGTGAGGATTGGCCTGCGAGAACTCAGGGGCATGTTAAGTGGGTCAGTGAATCGTAGACACTGTCCCTGTTGTCTAGGTGATGGATCTGGAAAGGCTTCCTGAGAGGGGGCTGGGCCAGCAGCCCCCATGGCCCCTGAGAGTGTTTCAGTGTTGATGTTCTCAGGGTGCAACGCATAGAAACGGGCTCTGCAGCTGTAAGCTTCAGCCTAACACCCCCATCTTGTCTTATAGCTTTGCTGCTGTTCTGGAGATTTAAAATTCCATTTCCCCCCAAATCCGAACAGTTCCTTCCAAGGCTAGTAATTATATTAGAACGTAAGAATTATTGCGAGTTGCTCATGACAATTTGAAACCAATGTGGCAAACATATAAGTAACTCTGGGAGTAAATCAAGTAAACCTTTACCATCCAAGCAGGTGTTCCCCTTTTGACCTATTACCTTTTCCTTATCATGTCCTTGCTTTATTGATATATCGCTGCTCCTTTGTCCATCCTGGTGCTGTCCGCACTCTAGCACTTTCTCCCTGGGGAGGTACCTTCCACGCTTTCCTCTCTTTTGGCCATTAGCCCAGTGTGATTTCTCTGCTGATATTGCTTGTATGTGTGTGAATTAGTATATTGGAAATAGATTTTCCTTAAAGTATTCAAAGATAGTAAAACACATACTATATCAGTCTCTAAACTTGAGCCCAGGATGGTGATAGTAGTGAGTAAAAAACTTGCCCTGGCTAGGTGGCACGGTGCCTTGGTTGGTTGAGCATCAGCTGTACACCAAAAGGTTGTGGGTTTGATTTTCAGTCAGGGCACATACCTAGATTGCGGGTTCAATCTCAGTTGGGATGCATATGAGAGGCAACGAATAGATGTTTCTCTCCACATCAATGTTTCTCTCACTTTCCCTTCCTTTCTCTCTCTAAAATCAGTAAAAACATATTCTCGGTAAGAACTAAACACACACACACACACACACACACCACCTCAGAGGCTCTTTAAAATGCTAGATTACCAATTCTGATGAATTTCTTCTCAGTGAATTAAGTCTCAATGCAGCATTGTTGATTGTTGTGTAAAAGATTTCCTTGGACTGGATATTTATTCATTTAACACGTTCATTCATTAACAAATATTTGTTCTTACTGTGGGCCAGGTACTGTGTTAGGCAGTAGGAGTAAGATGGATAAGAACATGTCTCTGGGCCCTAGCTGGTTTGGCTCAGTGGATAGAGTGTCAGCCTGTGGACTGAAGGGTACTGGGTTCAATTAGGGGGCATGAAGGAGGTAGCTGATTGATGATTCCCTCCCTCCCTCCCTCCCTTCCTCCCTTTCTCCTTCCTTCCCTCCCTGAAATCATCATCTCACACACACATATATGAAAAGCAAACTTAAAAAAAAACAAAAAACATGTCTCTGGGGTAAATTATGAAAGTTGGCTTCTAAACAACTGTTCATAAAAATTGTTTCTCTCTCTTTCATCACAGCCTGACTTCACCCAGTCCTATCCACAGTGCAAAGAGCGAATCCATTATCACCCAGTCGGAGGAGAAGGCAGAGTTTGTGATTGTTCCCTCTGAAGGAATAGAGAACAGGACAGGTACTACTTCTTGGGTGCTTGGGTTGGTTCAAGGAATAGCTCTCAGCTTGAAGAGTTTGGGGATCCTGGCTATGTACCTATAAGCTCCCTGGCCTTGTGCCTCTTGTGTCTGCAGGCTCAGCTCTACGGGGCTCTAATGCTTTAGAGCCAACAAATGTGGATATCCTCTTGGGGAATGTCACTTCCGATGTCCTAGCTGTCAAAAACCTTGCAGCAGTATAGACAGGCTGTTCCTTGGCCCCATGCCTATGAATCAGGAAATGACTTTGGAACAGTCGGAAGCCTTATTCAGTAAATAGATTTTGTGATTTCTGTGTTATACAAATAATTTCAGTCCTTCTCTAACTTAAATTGGGGCCAGGAAAAGGAGGGGTTGCTGAGGTGTCTGTGAGAACATACAGTGGAGAGCAGGTCTACATCAGGTTTGGTATGAGGGCTGCAGAAAGGACCACAGGAGTTCCCTTCGTTTAGACTTCTCCTTCCTCTGTGTCAGTTGCTCTCTTGTTTACTCACATAAACATAGAGGAAATCTGGAAGAAGCAAAACACATGATTTAGATAGAGTTTTATTCAACTATTAGGGGATACCATGAAACTGAAGCCCTCAGAAGAAAAACTGGAATTCATTTCTTCCTTATTCTATTCCCTCTCTGAACCTGGCATTAGTAGCAGAGAATACTACCGAGAATGGTACTGAGTCAGACACCCCTGGGACCCTGAGGAGGGAGAGGGAGAGCATTTATTAAGTGCTTGCTCTGGGCCCCACACCACATGGCCCTGGGCATAAATTACCTCGTTTAATCTTCACAGCAACCCAGAGGGATTAGCCTCACTATACTCATTTTTATTAATGAAATCAGAAGAGATTGTAAAGGCAGGACAGAAAAAAAAAAAAAAAAAAAAAAAAAAAAAAACAGAGAGAGAGAGAGAGAGAGAGAGAGAGAGAGAGAGAGAGAGAGAGGGAGAGAGAGATATTAAACTATTTGTGCAAATATGCTTTCCTGGTTCATTTTCTGTGTTAAATTACACTGTTAAATGACAGAATGGTCTCTGAATCTCCAGACAGCCAACAGACTTTTGTTTTCATGGCCTCTGACAGCTCCCCTCTTTGTACCTGGCAGAATCAAGCTCTGGGAGTGCCCGTTCTAGAGAATTAATAGTAAAATCTATTGATATATGTCCCATACCAAGACTCCCAAAGAGGAAGTCTTACGGCTTCCTAAACGTTCTGAAGAGGATGTGTTTCCCCAACAGATTAAGTGTTGCTCCCTTGAGCCTGGGGTCTGAGCTAATAGCCAATTCTGTATGTCTCACAACCCCACCTGGTGGCGAGTCCAGGCTGAGCGGCGAGGACAGGTTCAGGAGGCAGTGACCTGAACCTGTGAATGCGAGGACAGCGAATGCTTCCTGCCGGAAACTCTGTTTTCTTCAACATGAACTGTGCTCCCTCCTTTCATGTTGTAGAGGAGACAGACTCTCCAGTATCCCGAGACTGGCGACCAGGCAGCCCCACAGCCTGTCTGGAGACTTCATGGGAAGAACAGCTGTTGGAGCAACAAGAACATCTAGAAAAAGAAATGGAGGAAGCCAAGAAAATGATATCAGGACTACAGGTAGCTCCTTCCCTTGTCGTTCGTTCGTCTTCGGCGCACCCACTGATAATTATTCTTAAATCACTGGTGTCAGTTGCAGATAAACTGGCTCAGTTTTGTGTGAGGTCAGAGTTGAGTGGGGAGTTCAGACAGAGGGAGTAGGAGTCAAAGGGCAGACAGTTCCCTTTATGTGAGTAAAGCTCTCACATGGACCAGGTGGACTCTTGTTTACAACACAGTTGTCAGGAGTTCTGCGAGCCTGGGAGCCATCAAGCCCTGCCAAGCCCTGGTTCTGGCTCTCAGCTCCCCGGTGGGTTCCTGCCCACTCTGCAGCCACAGCCGTGCAGTTGCAGCTCTCACCAAATAGTGGCCCTCTGAAGAGTCAGGGGTTGTCTCCTAGGACTTCTTCAGGAAGGGTGCGGGAGCCAGTAATGCCAGGGTTTCTGTCTGAATCTAGCTAAACTTTAGAGGATTCAGCTCGCTCCTAATGCGTTTGTGAGTGAATGCCAAGGCTCCGTGATCAGGTAGAGGAAGTTTTCTTTGAGCAACAAAGCCCTTCAGTCTCTCCTATACCTTCAGTGCCAGCTCAGGAAATCTCCCAGAGGCCAGCTGACCCACTTGACTTGGTTTGTACCCTGAAATGACCCCCCAGCCCTCTGACATTGTGCATCTGTCTCTATTTGGGGGAGCCCTTGTAGTGTGCTGATGACCCTGAAATTGTCTAGGGATATTCCTTTCTGTTTGTGCTGGGAACTGCACTGCTCTTGAATTGTCAAATATTTATGGAGACATAAACAAAGCCCACATTATGTCAGTGGTCTGGCAGCCGGCAGGCGGTGGAGGCGGCGCTGCCAGCCAACTAGCAACAGGGTGAGGACACAAAGAGTTCCTTTAAAAAAAAAAAAAAGGAGATTGGTGCTATAGTACAATATTTGCATAATGTATGCCCCAGGAATGGAGAAGGGTTGGAGGAATGTTTACTACCTAAATATTCCTTCCTGGAAAGTTGTTTATTTCCCACCTATTTTCTTGGTATGTTTTAAAATTTTTTAAAATATATTTGTATTGATTTCAGAGGGCAAGGAAGAGGGAGGGAGAAATAGAAACATCAATATGAGAGAAAATCATTGATCGGCTGCCTCTTGCACACCCCACAATGGGTAGCTGGCAACCCAGGCATATGCCCTGACTGGGAATCAAACCATGACTTCTTGGTTCATAGGTGGACACTCAACCACTGAGCTACAGTATATTTTAAATGTCTGCCTTTTAAATAGACATTTTCTGCCTCTCTATTAAGGCATGATTTAATTAACAGTGTGTGTGTGCTGTCCTTTAAATAATTTTTATTGATTTTTTTTACAGAGAGGAAGGGAGAGAGATAGAGAGCTAGAAATGTCGATGAGAGAGAAACACCGACCAGCTGCCTCTTGCACACCCTCTACCGGTGATGTGCCCGCAACCAACCTACATGCCCCTGACTGGAATCGAACGTGGGACCTTTCAGTCCGCAGACCGACGCTCTACCACTGAGCCAAACCGGTTTCGGCTGTGCTTTAATTAGAACTATTAAAGCATAAAAAACTTTGGGGTTACACCCAACCAGGTTTTCCCAGGACAGTGTGATTATATGAACATATTGTAGATTACCATCAGTTTGGTGCATTTTTCAGTCTGGTGGATTAGACAGAGAAAGAAGAGAATCGATAGGCAGAAAGTCAGCATCCTAATATTCTCTGCAATCAGGAGTTTAATTCACAGCCACATGACCACAATGAGAATTCTGTTCCCTTATGGAATACAATGGAGCTCACAGCACCCACTGGCATTTTAACCCCTTCAGGGATGAACAAGTTGTGTGCTAAGCCACATCCAGTTTCTGGCTTATTCGTAGGCTCTCATGAGAGCCCATCCAACGCTTTGCCTTTAGGGTCAGTGTTTCTGTAGCATGGCCCTCCCTTAATTCCCTGCAGCTCTTCTTACACTTGTCTATGCATACCTCTTGCCACAACTCCATGGGATAACCACATTAATTTGATTTACTAAACTTTTACTATTAATTAGTGCTTGGTAGACCAACCAGTGCTTGAATTCTTATATACCAACATTTGTGGTTAGTTTGTGTTATATTTACTGAAAAAGGATTTAATCTCTGTAACTCTTCTCTTGACTAGATTAACCTGTTAACCGGGGAGTTCCCTTTTTAATTACGCAACGTATAACGGGCGCATACTCTTTCATGAGGACGTGTCAGTACGTCACGCCCCATGACGTAATTTCATATTATTATTTGTTTAATTTATACTTAATTAAAATAAATGAAATATATATTTTTTGTTTATTTATATATAAAGCACAAAGGAAAATACAAAATTACAAACAAATAGAAAAGAATACCAACAAAAAAATGGAAACATCGAATTAAAAAATTATGAATTTTAGAAACAATTATAAAGATTAAAAAATATATATACTGTCCATTTCAGGGTGCAACATATATTTCAAGGACGTATTCATATGTCCTCCTTGTTCCAGATATTGTTTGCGTTTGACATATTTATAAGTCCTGCTCGGTTAAAAGGTTAAGAAAACTCGGTTAACAGGTTAAGATATTATATAAGACAAGGACACATTTTCAAATCTTTCATTCAGCTTATAGGTCTTGTATACCTGCCTGCAAGGGTAGATCCAAATTTTGTGAGTCCAAAAACATATAGTTTGGGAGGCCATCTTTAAGACTAAGATTACAATGTGACCGGTGTGGCTCAATGTTGACCATGGTTTGATTCCTCTTTAGGGGACATGCTCAGGTTGCGGGCTCAATCCCCAGGTTGTGGGCTCAATCCCCATGCAGGAGACAGCTATCGATGATTCTTTCTCATTGGTGTTTCTATCTATCTCTCCCTTCCTCTCTAAAATCAATAAAAAATATTTTTTAAAAGACTGTGATTACAGATTATGTATCCAATAGTAGATATAGGAAGTTGGGAGGGCATTGCAGGTGAGGGGCCCTTGGGTTTGAGCTTCATTAGCTTCAGAGTAAATCTTCCCCCTCCATATTCTGATGAAAACAAAGTCTGGGGTGGGGAGTGGAAATGAATGCCCATATTTCTCCGCAAGTATGTTTTCCTTCTTTTTCTATCAGGTTGCCTTCAGGAGTAAAAATGCAGAATTATTCAAACAAACCCAAGTCAGTGCTATAACTTCCAAATAATTTATTATAATAAAGTTTTATATGCTAGGAAATTCTGCACTGCTTTTAGTTCACTTCCCAGCTGGCAAAATTCAGTTTGAGGGGCTCTGGTTTTGAAATGCCGCTTCTGAGAGGAATGTTTATTTTAGATTGTTTTCTGGGGCCTTGGAGAGAGGAACTCCAGAGAGACCCAAGGTGAGTTGTTGGCGGTACCTAAGGATCAGGGTCACACGTTACCACGGAGATTTCTAGAGGAAGCCCACTTGTGATTTCAATTAGGGAGGAGCCTACCAACCCCAGGCTCAGTTCTCTGATGGGCGGTGCGTTTCTCTCTGTGTTTGTGTGACCCAGGCCTTGCTGCTCAGTGGGTCCTTACCGGAAGATGAGCAGGACAGGCCTTTGGCCCTCTGTGAACCAGGAGTCAATCCCGAGGAGCAACTGGTGAGCGCCATCTTCAGTGACAAAACCAAGTAACCTGGTTAATGTACTTGACTTGCTTTTAGCATTTGACCCCGTTGTTTGCACCTACTTGAAATGCTCTCTTCCCTAACTCCAGCTCTCTTGGTTTTTTTCTTCTATTTTAGAGTACTTTTCCTTTCTTTTTTTTCTTCCTTTCATTTAGTCAGTCAGCAAATATTTATTGAGTGCTGACTGTGCCAGCTGTTGTTTCAAGGTGCTGGAGATACGTGAATGCCAAAACAGTCCCAGGACCCTACCCTCGGGCATGACATTCCGGGGCCTGTTCTGCCTGGGCCTTAAATGCTTGCTCTTCAGGGCCCTCTCCTGACTCGCTTTCCCCTGGGTAATAGGTGCCTCCGTGGCTTCACTCACCTCCCACCCGACTCAGATGTCACCTCAAATATTTATTTCTAGCTCAGTTTTCTCTGTGGGCTTCCAGATTTATATATGCCACATGCAATTGCCTATTGATTACCTCCACTGGTGTATCCTATAAGCATCTCTGTTTCAATGAATCCTAAATCAAACAGGTTTTCTCTCCCTTTTCTCACCACCACTAAAACTGCTTGTCCTTTTGGATTCTGTTTTTTATTACTGTCCATCTAGCCAAGTACCCAAAACAAAAATCTAAATGTCAAGTTTTTAATCCTTTCTGACCCTTCCGTCTATAACCAATAAGTCACTAAATTTTGTCAGTTGACTTTTTAAATATCTTCACCCAGTTTTCTCCACTCTCACAGCCACTACTTTAATTCAAGCCTTTATCCAGTGTTCTAGCAACCTTCTAACTAGCTTTCCAGATTCCTCTCCTGTCCTTCCTGATTCATTTGGAATAAAACAGCAAGAATGATTTACCTTTAAGGGAATTCTCATTTTGTCATCTCTTCGCCTAAAATGTTTCATGGATTCCCCATTGCCCTCTCTGGCCTTTCATGATCCGGCCCCTATTTTCCTCTCAAACTTCATCCCTTGCTATTTCTCTTTGCCTTTGCCCAACCTCCTGCATCAAACACATACTAGCAGTTACTTTAAACTTTGTCCCTGTTCATCTGCTTCCATCTCCCTGGGGATATGCATCCACTAGAGGGAGGACACTGTTTCCTATCCTTTGTATCCACAGTAGTAAATGTTCAATAAATGTTTATTGAATGAATAGCCTCCGAATTTCACAGCATAGGTACTTAAACATCGCTTTTTACCTTATATTCAGATTGTAATCCAAAGTCGTCTGGATCAGAGTGTGGAGGAGAATAAGGACCTAAAGGTATGTCAGGACATGTACATTTACCCTTTGAAAAAAATTCAAACTTCAGGAAGTAATAGGGAGGGGGTAAGGGATGCAGACTCATGACTCTAGCTGTACCTATGTTTGTATTGTGCCTTTGATTGAAAGAGAGATATGTCCTATATATGGCAAAAGGTAACATCTTTTTAATCTCAATGATGAGTAATAGGCATATATGTCATTATATCTTTATGTGTTTAAAATGTTCATTATTTTTTAAAATAACATCAACATACACTGGATCTATTATCAGTATGCTCTTTTTTATAATTGACATAAACATTAGTTTCAGATAAAGAACTTGATTTTATATATATATATATATATATATGTGAATATATATATATATATATATATATATATATATATATATATATGAATATATATATGTAAATAATCACATTAACATTAGTGCTGCAAGGGTTCAGGAAGCCCCAGGTTGGGATGCCAATTAATGCCAGACATTGGGTTACATTTAACACTGGTGGGTCTTGAGCCAGCATCTAGAAGTGTTCTGGAATCTAGAGAAGGCTGTGCGTAGATTAAGTAAGAGTCCAGAGACGAAAGATAATTTTGAAAGGCATTTGGAGTCAGAGGAGCTTTAGCTAAAGGAACTAAGTTCTCCTTGTCTCAGGACCCCTTTCTTTTTATTACCTCAAATTGTCCTAAGGCAAGGTGGAGATACACTTCAAAGGGTAGGGTTTCCATATAGAAGCATTGTCAGAATGGGGAATAGCCTATTGCTGTTCAGGTGTTTGGCCAATAGGAGGCAATAACATGTAGATTAAGATGCCCTGAGCTGTCTGGCAGCAAACACTCAATTTTTTTCAGGTTGGAGGAAATGCCTTTAGCCATTCCCAACAGGTGATAACATATGTGACTCAGCCCTTGTTGAGTCCTCAAGTTCCATCAACTTTTTGATGAAACTCTTGCAATTATGACAGCTGGAATTGGCTTCCGCATCATATAGTTAAAAATTTTTTCTTGTGATGGTATCTTTTAAGATCTACTCCCTTAGCAACTTTCAAATATGCAGTACAATATTATTAAATATAGTCTAGTATCTTTTTGTTGTTGTTGTTAATCCTCACCCAAGAATATTTTCCACTTCATTCCTAGATAGAGTAGAAGGGAGGGAGAGAGACACAAAGAGGGAAACATTGATGTGAGAGAGACACATCAACTGGTTGCCTCCCACATGCTCCCCGGCTGAAGCCAGGACCTTCAGTCTGCATGCTGACACTCTGTTCCCTGAGCCAAACTGACTAGGGCAGAGTCCAGATCTTTTTTAAATGAAACTTCCCAGAATTCTTTTAGGTCAGTGGATCTTAACACATTGCAGACAGATCATGAGATTTCTTGCTTCACAGTGTTTTACAAAATGTCATACTTTAGAAAGAGATTAGCTTGTAAGAACATGTAATAAATAACTTCAAAATATAATTTTAATTTTAAAGTGTGCCTTTAACATTTATGTAAAACGTTTTTTGTACTCAAACCAGCCGAAACCGGTTTGGCTCAGTGGACGGAAGGGTCCCAGGTTCGATTCTGGTCAAGGGCTTGTACCTTGGTTTCGGGCACATTCCCAGTGGGGGGTGTGCAGGAGGCAGCTGATCGATGTTTCTCTCTCATCGATGTTTTTGGCTCTCTATCTCTCCCTTCCTCTCTGTAAAAAATCAATAAAATAATAATTTTTAAAAAGGCCAACCTTTAAAAAAAAAAAAAAAGAAAAAAAGAAAGAAAGAAACTTATCTGTCCACTGGGTAAAGCTACCAATAAAATTACTGTTCCGCAATGTGTTAACTTTTTTTTTGAGCCATAAATATATGCCTAAAATCATTAACCTTCTCCCCAGAAATATGCAAGAGCACATGCACACACACACTCACTGACTTGAATTTTTATTGGCATTACTTTGGAGCCCATCTGTGGAGTCCAGATTAACTGTTTCCACTTTAGATGTGTTAATTCCAAATTCTTGATGTGATGCAATAAGAAGAGAGTGGGATCCGAGTTATGGGTGTTCCTCTCCTAAAATCTCTTTCCTAGTGGTAATCATATACGTATGTTTATTCTATTGTCAAGGAGGGGTAATTACTTTAGCACTGCATTATTGGGCTAAATGTATTTTTGTTTAGTCCATGAAGAACAACACGTTCTTAGAGAATCAGAAGCAGCTTGATACTTGGCTAAACATTAGAAACCAAGATAATAATTGAAGATATGGGAGTAGGCATATTGAGATGAATTACTTATTTCATGAGAGGGATTTAGATTATTATGATTCCATTTCCTGGTGGTGAAGATTGCTAACTGTAGGAATGAGATCCTATGGGAATGTGAGGTGTCTTCTTTCTTGGCGTTGAGCCTGGATGCCACAGGGCAGAATGGTCTGGGTCAGCCTTCAGTGTTCACTGGACCATATCTTTCTGCCTCAGTAGACAGTTAATTTTTTCAGAGAATGGTTATCTGAATTTTCTGTTCCCACTAATAGAACGAGGTAATGCTTCTGAAGCAGCCCAGATGCTCTCCATCTGATCTCACTGTATTTGGTTTGCAGAAGGACTTGCTGAAATGTAAACAGGAAGCCAGAAACTTACAGGGAATAAAGGTAAAAAGGAAGACATTTAAATCTTTAAATAAATTATCTAGCCAAAACCGGTTTGGCTCAGTGGATAGAGCGTTGGCCTGAGGACTGAAGGGTCCCAGGTTCGATTCCAGTTAAGGCCATGTACCTGGTTTGCGGGGACATCCCCGGTGGGGGATGTGCAGGAGGCAGCTGATTAATGTTTCTCTCTCATCAATGTTTCTGACTCTCTATCCCTCTCCTTCCTCTCTGTAAGAAATCAATAAAATATATATATTAAAAAATTATCTACAAGGTCAAGTAGTCTACTGGTAAGAGTAGGTGCTAGGAGGTTGGATGGGTCCTCTAGTCTTTCTTGTATACATTTGGTGGGGGCTTTGGCAGACTCTGTGCTGTTAGGAAAAGGAGAGCTTTGTGGATGGGAAGTGAGACGTGGTAAGGAATATACCCTTTTGTTTTGCTGAGGCTTATTTCTGGGGGTTATGACCCCTGGTGCTGCCACTTCCCTCTGTGCTGCCTTATTTGTTTCTGTCTGTAAACAATCAATTCTTACAGTTCTCTTCAGTTTTAGCTTTTTATCAGTTCTAAAGAGGTATATCTTTGCCCTGACCGGTTTGGCTCAGGGGATAGAGCATCGGCCTGCAGACTGAAAAGTCCCAGGTTTGATTTCGGTCAAGGGCATGTACCTTGGTTGCGGGCACAGCTCCAGTAGAGTATGCAGGAGGCAGCTGATCGATGTTTCTCCCTCTCATCAATGTTTCTAACTCTCTATCCCTCTCCCTTTCTCTCTGTAAAAAATCAATACAATATATTAAAAAATTAAAAAATAAAGAGGTATATCCTCTTAAAAATTGTAATTTACTTAGTTCTTGAATAGTTAATAGTACTCAGATGTTTTAAAGTTAATAAGGTACAAAAAGATAATCCTTGAAAAGCCTGACTTCTGGCCCTGTCCCCACAATCACCTACTTCTCTCTCCTGGAGGCAACTTATTAGTTATCAACAAGTCCTATATAATAAAAGCCTAATATGCTAAGTGTCCAGTCGACTGGCCAGCCAAAATGTAATATGCTAATGATATGCTAAGGCCACTCAACAGCTTACTATGACATGCACTGACCACCAGGGGGCAGACAGCCAGCTGGTTGAGCAGTTGCTATGATGTGCACTGACCACCAAAGGGCAGATGCTCTGATTGGTAGGTTAGCTTGCTGCTGAGGTCCGGCCAATCAGGACTGAGTGAGATGCCTGGAGCCCTCCTTCAGTCCCTCCCTGGCTGGCCAACGCCCTGTGTCTCTCCCCAGCCCCAATCATGCACAGGTTGGGTCCCTTGGCCTGGCCTGCACCCTCTTGCAATCTGGTACCCCTCGGGGTATGTCAGAGAGCCAGTTTCAGCCTGATCTCATAAGGAAGTGTCACTCAGCCACAAGCCGGGCTCATGGCTGGCGGGCTCAGTAATGGTGGCAGGAGCCTCTCCCACCATTGTAGCAGCACTAAGGATGTCTGACTACAAGAGGGCGCAGGCCGGGCTGAGGGACCTCTTCCCCTTGAGTGCACAAATTTCGTGCACTGGGCCTCTAGTCTATATATAAAGCCTAAGCTCCCGTCCGACCAGTCGCTATGATTTGCACTGACCACCAGGGGGCAGACACTTAATGCAGGAGCTGCCGATGAATTGGCAGAGAGGAGGGAGCCTGATTCTGGGGTGAGTCACCTGAGAACGGCCCTCTTGCAATCCGGAGCCCCTTGGGGGATGTCGGAGAGCCAGTTTCGGCCCCATCCCCACAGGCCAGGCCGAGGCACCACACCGGGCACCGGGCCTCTAGTACATATATAATTTCCTCCAAAATAATAGTATACAGCTTAACATGTTGCTTGTGGCTGCACAGTGTGCCACTAAATGTGATTATTTAATCACTTGCTCATACAACCAGTGATATAGCTAATCTCCTTGAATGCATGTTATTTCACCCAAGTGGGAGCATGTCTGTGTATAAATACTGGAAGTGGAAAACAGTGTTCCCCTCTTCCCTGCACTTCCAATCGTGGGCTGGACTAGAGCATTTTTCAGAGCCTTAGTCCTTTGAGATACTTCAGAAACAAATGTGTTCCATGGTCAAGTAAATGTGAGAGCTGCCCTCTGGACTTGAAGAGTCACAGTGAATAGTAACATAGTAAAGGACCTGGGGAGATTTCTCATAAAGAAGGTGGCCCAAAGCAAGTTTAGAATTATTGACCACAGAAGCACTTTTTCTCCCATGAAGCACTGGGAAATGTTCCTCTGATCTGCTGGTGCCAGGGCTTCTTAGCCTGCCTTTGCCATGTGCCGTCCTGGCAGACAGCATGTTCAGGCATGGGCTCCCACATTCTCGAGCCCGCACCATTTTTTTGTAGTCTGTGAAGAGAGGAAAGTCAGGGTCAGTACACTGGAATGCAGCCCCAGTCCATAGTTCCATTGGCAGTCACAGTGGTTGGAGGAATGACCCTTTTAAGTATGTATAACTCACCTTTTCTTAAGCATGGGAGAAACCAAGAGTGTCCAAGCTGAAAGATAGCCTAACGTTGGGAAGGTTCTAGATATGGGAGGGGGAACCACAGCCCAAGAGCAGTTCTGAGCATGGAAATATGTATATTCCCAGTCCTGGTCCAGATTAGGCATGGGAGCCCCCAGTAGGTGCAGGCTCTGGGAGGCAGGAGGAGGGACCTCAGGGATTCTGGATGAATAGGGTGTCAGGCAGAAACAGGTCCCAGCCTTCTAGGAAATAGGGAGTTGGCAGAGAGGTAGACTATTTATATGCCCAAGATATAGATGAGGAAGCCAGGGTGGGGGGAAGAAGAGTGTGTTGTCATTGTCACAAAAGTAAGTGGTGAACTGGTCATTTGAATCTAAGTCTTTTCTATTCCCCAAGACCTCTGTCTAGGACACCACCCTGTCAGGAATGAAGTAGAGGGAAGTGGCGAGTACCAAGTGAAGGAAAATTCAGGTTTCGTGTAGTTTGGTAGGACAATGGATAGGATTGTCCTGTAGATGCCACTGTCCTGGAAGGGGCAGAAAACCCCTGCTTATTCCTGTGGCAGTCCCTGAAGTCACTCCCACCTGCGTTGCCAGAACTAATGCGGGATATGCAGTGAGGGCTTTAATAACTTAGTAATAACTGGCTGGTTGGTTAATTGGGCCAACAGTAATTAACTTTCCCCTCTCCCCCCAGGATGCCTTGCAGCAGAGGTTGACTCAGCAGGACACATCTGTTCTTCAGCTCAAACAAGAACTACTGCGGGCAAACATGGACAAAGATGAGCTACACAACCAGAATGTGAGTTAAATGAACCCTGACTTCACTGAACCCCAATTAGGTCTGCTGTCCTAACCTCTTAATTTCAGGTTGTCCGCTCTCAGTGTCTGCAGTTATTTTATTTCCTGTTAGACTTGAGTCTGTTCCCAAGGGAGAGTCTCCAACACACTGGCCTCAAGCCCTTCGCGTTCAGGACACTGAGACACAGAGGCTGCCCTGTGCTTCCGCAGTCTGTGTAGAGACGCGGAGAGCAGCTGTGTGTTTTGTCCACAGCCATGCCCTCTCTGCTTCTCAACTGAACTGTGGTTACTAAATAGCTATTTTCCTGCTGGGCATGGCACACTGCACCTCCATGCCATTAATTCTTTCTTATCCTTCTTACAGGTGGATCTGCAGAGGAAGCTAGATGAGAGGAACCGGCTCCTGGGAGAATATAAAGTAAGAATGAACGTTAGTTTGGAAATAATTTCCATCTGACCTTGTTTTATGAACAGCCCATGATGCTGTTGTTCAAAGAGCACTTAACTCTGTTCTCTCCTTGCTTTTGGCAAAGAAATCCTTTGCTGCACTCCCTTGTTCACGAACCCTAACCCTGAAGGTAGAGAGCACGGCTAGGAGAAGGAGCACAGAACTAGGAGTGTGAAACTTCAGTCTTAACCCTTCTATCTAACTAGCAAGGATAGCATGTAGTGTCCTTCTACACACAGTAGTTCCCTTTCTCCTTACCCTTCCGAGAACCCTTTGCACTATGCAAGGCTGCTGTGGTGTGCGGTGCCTTCCGGGTGCAGCTGGAGGAAAGCACCGTTCCCCCAAGGCTCTGCTTTCCTCCGATGGAGTTGCATCGCAAAGGGTGAATTAACTGTTCGATGTTCTTGACTTTGCCACGTCTGAGAGCTCTCTGTCCATTGCAGAAGGAGCTGGGGCAGAAGGACCGCCTCCTTCAGCATCACCAGGCCAAGCTGGAAGAAGCGCTCCGGAAGCTCTCTGAGGCCAGTTACCAGCAGGTGGGGCATCTTCAGCGCTGACTTCCTGTCCCTGCGGCCTGAAGAAGTGCTTTCCTGACTTAGTCTCTGGTTTGCAGGTGGATCTAGAGCGGGAGCTAGAACACAAAGATGTCCTTTTGGCTCACTGTATGAAAAGAGAGGCGGATGAGGTAACCTCCAACTCGGGGTCTCCCTCCCACATTTACAAGGGCAAAGAGAGGGTTTTGTTTCTGAGTCAGGACTGAACCAAAGCCACAGGTCAGTTTTTTAGGAGGGTTATTTGATGTGGGGGTTATGAATACAGATTCCAGGATAAGAAAATCTGGTTTCAGATACATCTTTACCACTTTTTAAAATTAAACTTATTGTTGTAACATTGGTACATTTTTATCACTTTTGACCATTGTGTGACTTTAATTTACTTAGCTTCTGAACCTTAGACATAAGGCTCATCTGGAAAGTAGGAATAATAGTGGCCCTCTCTGCCATTAAGAAGTATACATAAAATAACCCAGGTATGAGGGGTGGGAGTATCTGGGGAGAGGTCAATGGGGGACAAAGGAGACATATACTTTCAATAATAAAGAATTTAAATTAAAAAAATAATCCAGGTAGATCCACCTGGTAGATCCAGCTGGCTCAGAACTAAGATCAGGAAAAGTTAGTCATTACGTGGTTGGTGTGGCTCAGTGTTAAGCATTGACCCATGAACCAGGAGGTCACAGTTCAATTCCCAGTCAGGACACATGCCCGGGTTGCAGTCTCCATCCTCAGTAGGAGGCATGCAGGAGGAAGCTGATCAATGATCCTTCTTTTTTTTTTTTTTTTTTTATCAATGATTCTTATCATTGATGTTTCTATCCCTCTCTCCCTCTTCCTTCCTCTCTCTCTGACATCAATAAAAAGATATTTAAGAAAGAAAGAAAAGTTAGTCATTGCTTTTATTTTTAAATTACTGAAGCAAAGGCCGGAGGTGCTGTAGCAGCATTCTCAGGCCCTCCAGTGGCCAGGCAGAGTGTAGGCTGGGGGCTTCCCAGCTGAGGTTTCCCTTTTGTTTATTCTACATTCAACAGTGCCTAGGAAGGGTCAAGTACAGGGGTGTAGCGATGAATAAAGGGGGGGAAGGCCCTATACATTCTAATAGAGAGAGATATGAAATAGATATATAATTATAAACTATGTCAGGAAGTGTAAAGAGGAAAAGTAAGACAGGACATCTTGGTTTGGAATTCTCTCACAACAAGTATCATTTCTTCTTGCTGCTGTAGGTGACCAATTACAGCAGTCACAGCTCTCAAAGCAATGGTTTTCTCCCTCCGGTGGCAGGAAAAGGAGCTGCTTCCATCACTCCGAGAGGGGTAGGTTCTTAACATTTTAGTCCAGACCCGCCACTTCAGCTGAAGCCAGAAGAGCACCTTAGCCGTCACCAGTGGACTCGCCGTTTATATCCCACTTCTCTATTCTCGCATCTGTTGGGTGTGTAAAGATCTGAGGCACTTGTTATTCGAAATGAAGGACTGGTGGGAAACAGCAGGCCTGTTTTTGTGGAGGAACATTTCCTATAATCCACACCTCCTCCCTAAGAAGTAAAAGATCTATCCTGGGGATTTCTCCCCTGTGTCTCCTTAAGCCCAGTGGCCGGGATACAGTGAATGACATGACACTGCAGCATGCCAGCAGCGCCTCACTCTCCCCACAGACCAGCGACCTGCAGCTCGTTCGCGATGCTCTCCGCAGCCTGCGCAACAGCTTCAGCGGCCACGACCCTCAGCACCACACCATCGACAGCCTGGAACAGGGCATCTCCAGCCTCATGGAGCGTCTGCATGCCATGGAGACCCACAAAAAGCAAGAAAAAAGGGTAATCCTCATTCTGTGCTATTCCTCTTAGGCAAGCTCCCAAAGAAGTTTAATTTTATCCATTTTAATCTAGAGGAAGGCAGGGCTGAAGGTTAGAGTTGCTTTTCTCTTTGGTTTTCCTGTTCATCATGGTTTGATAATCCAGGGAGGGACTTCTTGATAACTCTCATTCCTATCAACTGCTTAACTATCTAAGGAATTGTAGTGCTTGGCCCCACAGCTCTCTCTACTGCTTGTTTCCCTTGCCCTTCTCCCCTGAATGAGCTCGCATTAGACGAGGAAATATATGGAAAATGCTTGAAAATTAGAAGTCCTTTTATAAATGTGTATTATTATTGTTAGTACCAATATGTACAGTTTTATGCACCAGGTAGAAGATGTATATTTTAGGCAAATGGTAGAAAGAGTATATTTTAGGCACACTTTTTAAATTTAAATTTCTTGGTTAAGTTCTCCCGTTGATCATAATTCTTGTGATTTTTGTGTGGCTCTCCAGGTTTGGGGCAAGTCGCCCAGAACTCAAGCAGGTAGTGAATACCAGGAGTCCTGGCCCCCTCATTCCAGTAAGTGCTCATTATTGCTCAGGAAGGTCTCCTGGAATTTTAGATCAGACATTAGTACTTTGTGGATCGAATTTTTCTTATATAATTTCACTTTTATAATGTGTTGTTTCTGTAGCAATGCTAATTAGTATGGAGTTATTTCTAGGACTGTGAAGATACCATCATCATCACCTCAAGTACCATTTATTTAACCATGTTCTATTGACTCAGAGAGGCTGAAATATCTTTGGGAAATACTACAAGCTTAAAACATTTACCAAACAAAACAAAATTTAAGACAACAAAAACATATACAAATCAACCTATAACCCAAATAGCACAGAAAATTCCAGTTCTTCCTAGGATCAAGAAGCTTGATTTGGGGGGGGGGGGGGGGGGGGAGTAATTTTCCTTAAAACTTTGAGTGCTTAGGTGATTTGGTTTAAGTCCTGCAAAATCATTGCGCCATCTAGTGGTCATGGCTAGGTAGTACTTCTTACCTGCTCTATGCCTACTTGTTACATTTCTTCCCCTGTTTTTATTCCAACATGTTGGAAATCTACCCTGCCTCATAATTTGTTTTACTCTATATCTTAACTTTTGATTTAATAGCTTTCACATTTTCTTATATTTTATAGTTTACCCAGACCCAATCTAAAACTATGTAAATAATTTTCAAAAAACAAATAGCATAAAGCTAGCCATAACCAGTTTTGTATGACACATAGGCAATTAAGAAAACAATAATAAACAAAACGTAAACAAAACGTAAAGTATGTCCTGGCCAGTGTTTCTTAGTGGTTAGAGCGTCGGCCTGCAGACCAAAGGGTCTGGGTTCTGTTCCTGCCAAGGGCACATACCTTGGTTCAGGCTCCTCCCCCATGCAGGAGGCAACCAGTCAATGTGTTTTTCTCACATTGATATTTTTCACTATCCTTCCCTCTCTCTTCCACTCTCTATAAAAGATCAATGAAAAAATATTAACAACAACAAAAAAGAAACATGAAACCCTGGCCAGCGTGTCTCAGTGGTTGAGCCTTGACCTATGAAGCAGGAGGTCACAGTTCGATTCTCAGTCAGGGCACATGCTTGGGTTGCAGGAGGCAGGTGATCAATGATTCTCTCTCATCATTGATGTTTCTCTCTCTCTCCCTCTCCCCTCCTCTCTGAAATCAATAAAAATACATTTTTAAAAAGAAAACTGTAGCCAAAACTGATTTGGCTCAGTGGTAGAGCCAAACGAGCCTACGGACTGAAAGATTCCGGTTGGGAGCATGTACCTTGGTTGCGGGCACATCCCCGGTAGGGGGTGGTGTGCAAGAGGCAGCTGGTCGATGTTTCTCTCTCATTGATGTTTCTAGCTCTCTATCTCTCTCCCTTCCTCTCTGTAAAAAATCAATAAAATATATTTAAAAGAAAACTGTAGAACACAGATGAAATAAATCAAAGAATGAGAAGATACACCATGTTTATTGATTAGAGTACTCAATATTGATCCATTCTCCCCAAATAATCTATAGCTTCAATCATATTCCAATAAAAATCCTTTGTAGATATAAACAAGCTGATTCTAAAATTTATATGGAACAATAAAGGGATTGAAATGGTCACACAGGAGAAGGGAGTTAATGGGGGGGGTGACATATGTAATACTTTTAACAATAAAAATTATTTAAAAAAAAAAAAAAAGGAATAGCCACACAGAAAAAGTTGAGAAAGATGAACAAAGTATTTGGATGACCACACTATCTGATTTCAAAACTAAATAATTAGTACAATATAGGTGAATGCATAGACACATGGATTAGTGGAACAAAGGCCAGAAATATTTGGCCTATAGATTTTCAGTATCTATGAAAGAGCTAGTCAATGGCAAAGGAATGAAGGTTTAGGTTACCCAATCAAAACAAAACAAAACAAAACAAAACAAAACAAAACAAAAAAAACAACAACACAGAAGGATAGGCTTTTCAACACATGGTCCTGAGTAACTAAAGACCCATATAAAAACAGTCTTGTCACATACCTCATGCCATATACAAAAATTAATTCCAAATGAGCTTAAAAACTAAAATTGATTAAAGTTATGTATTAAATTTATACACACACAAAGATTTGGGGTCTTTTATTTGAGTTTTTTATACATGCTTTTTATAGTAATTTCATACTGAAGTAACAATTATTTTATCATAATTCAGCCTTCAGACTGAAGGGTCCCCAGGTTCGATTCCCACCGAGGGCATATGCTCAAGGTTTCGGCTAGATCCCCAATAGGGGGCATTCAAAAGGCAGCCAATCAATGATTCTCTCTCATCATTGATGTTTCTCTCTCCCACTTCCTCTCTGAAATCAATGAAAATATATTTTTAAAAATAAAAAGGAAAGGTTCCTCAAATCTATCTCTTCTCTGACTCCATCTTGCCCTTCCTCATCTTTCAGATTGTTTTTAATTGCCTGTTAATGGGATTACTGGTTTCCAGAGTTTCTCCCATCCAACTCATACTTTACTTTGCTGCTGGATTGGCCTTTCTACTAGTAAATGCCTGTCTGATTGTGTCACTCTTTTTTAGTATCTTCCAGAGCTTACGACTAATATCTAAATGTTTTATGTTGGCAGAGTCCTTGTGATATGTCCCCTGCCTATTTTATTATTCTCATCTTTCACAACTTCCCAATGTATTCCTTGTGCTCCAGCCTTACTAGTTAACTTTTTTTTTATTTTTAAAAAATATATATTTTATTGATTTTTTTTTACAGAGAGGAAGGGAGAGAGAGAGAGCCAGAAACGTCGATGAGAGAGAAACATCGTCCAGCCGCCTCCTGCACACCCCCTACCGGAGATGTGCCCACAACCAATGTACATGCTCTTGACCAGAATCGAACCTGGGACCTTTCAGTCCGCAGACCGACGCTCTACCACTGAGCCAGGGCTAACTTAATTTTTACATACATAATCACATTCCCTGCATTTACATATGTCCTTCCCTCTTGAAATGCCCTTTTAGACTTCTCTATCTGATGACTTCTTTTAAAAAAAAAAATAAAATATTTTATTGATTTATTCACAGAGAGGAAGAGAGAGGGATAGATCGATGAGAGAGAATCATCGATCAGCTGCCTCTTGCACACCCCCTACTGGGGATGTGCCCGCAACCAGGTACATGCCCTTGCCCGGAATCAAACCCGGGACCTTTCAGTCCGCAGGCCGACACTCTATCCACTGAGCCAAACTGGTTCCGGCTATCTGATGACTTCTTAAGCGCTTTATGGGGCCTTCTGACCTCTTCCAGTTGGAATTAACCACTTCATCTTCAGTTCTCCTGTGCAGTTTACACAAGTCTGATTTCAGCCGAAACCGGTTTGGCTCAATGGATAGAGTGTCGGCTTGGGGACTGAAGGGTCCCGCGTTCGATTCTGGTCAAGGGCATGTACCTTGGTTGCAGGCATATCCCCAGTAGGGGGTGTGCAAGAGGCAGCTGATCGATGACTCTCTCCCATCGATGTTTCTAACTATCTCTCTCCCTTCCTCTCTGTACAAAATCAATAAAATATATTAAAAAAAAAAAAAAGTCTGATTTCAGTGTCATTATTTATGTCCATATTTGTCATCCATACTAGATTGTAAACTCTTTGAGGTCAGAGACCACATATGGTTGATTCTATATTTCCCAAATTTAGCATGTGTTACGTGTACAAAAAATGTTTGTTGAATGAATGAATCAATCAGTCAATCAATAATAGGATTTAGTGATTTAAGTGAGTGTTTTAGATGCTATTGTCCAAGGAGCACCATGTCATATAGTTTTAATAATTGGCATTCTTTGGAGAAAAATTCTGAAAACTGTGATTACTATGCATAGTGAATATTCCCTTGTATTCCCCTGTATTAATTCTTCCCTCACAGTCTCCTTTATTTGAAACCCCTTCCTAGAAATGCTCTCCTGTGATGTCTAGAAAAAGTTAAGAAAATATATGTAGATGGAATTTCAGGACAGATTTTTAAATTTGTATTAAAATCCTCACCTGAGGATATATTTTTCCTTTTTTTTTTTTTTTTTTTTTTTTTTTTTTTAGAGTGGAAGAGAGAGAGGGGAAAAGAGAAAGAGAGACAGACAGGCAGAGGCATTGATGTGAGAAAGGCACATCAATCAGTTGTCTCTCACACATTTACTGACCAGAGCAGGGATCCAACCTGAAACTCAGGTATGTGCCCTTGGCCGGAATCGAACTCATGACCCTTTGTTGTGCCAGCTAATGCTCTGAACACTGATCAACACCAGCTAGGGCACAGGACAGATTTTAATGACACTTTATTATTTTATGGTTTTTATGATAAAAGTTTCTGATTGGTCTTTACTCCTGTTCTCTTAATTTTTTATTTTTAAAAAATACATTTTTATTGGTTTCAGAGAGGAAAGGAGAGGGAGAGAGAGACAGAAACATCAATGATGAGAGAGAATCATTGATCACCTGCCTCCTGTACACCCCCTACTGGGGATCAAGCCTGCAATCAAGGCATGCACCCTTGACTGGAATTGAACCTGGGACACTTCAGTCCTCAGGCCAACACTCTATCCAACAAAAGCCAACCCAGCTAGGACTCTTCCTGTTCTCTTAAAGTCATAATCACAAGTACTCATTAATAAAGTTTCCAGTCCTGGTGGGTGTGGGTCAATTGGTTGCAGCGTCATTGTACACCAGAAGGTTGTGGGTTCTATTTCCAGTCAGGGCACATACCCAGGTTGCAGTTCATTCTGGTCAGGGAACCTACCAATCAGTGTTTCCCTTTCACATGGATGTTTCTCTCTCCTCCTCCCCTCTAAAATCAAATTTTTAAACTTCAAAAAAACAACAACCACGGTACAAATTTATTTTAAAACTAAATAAAAATTTTACGTAAGTACCTATACAAAGGGTAGAGACAAGATGTGGATCAAGAGAACTGAGTTTAAAACCATGGGCCAGCACATATAGATCCTTTGTAGCTAAGAGATAAGGTACTGGAAGCATGAGGCTCCCTTGGCATCTGAGTTTCTAAGATTATTTTGCTCCTATGGTTCCTGTTCCTATTCATTTTCATTTCATGAATTGCATTAGCATTCTCCACCACAGAGACCTCCAAAACTTAAGTGCTGGCAGTGACTGCAGCTCCTGCTGTGTCCACTCTGCCCTAGCAGAAATGTTGCTGGGCTTCTCTGGCCTCTTTGACTCTTCACAACAATCAGAACAGTTGCTATTTCCCTGCTAGAAATGCCTAGAATGGGTAAGAAACGATGGTCTTGGTGATAGTGTCCATATTCAAAGCACTTCTTTGTGGCCCTAGTGCTGGCTTCCTTTGGGGCACACCCTGTGGACTTGGTGTTTGGCAAAGGTGTGAAAAGGAAAGTGTTCTGTGACCTCAGGCAGCTTCCTCCTCCTGGGACATTAAAAAAAAATTATCTTTATTATTGAAAGTTTTACAATGTTCCCTTTTCCCACTATGGAATGCCCTCCCTGACTTGTCTTTCACTTGTGGTCTGTCCATGGTTATGCATACGTGCATAGAAATTCTTTGGTTAATCTCTTCTCCACGCCCCTGCTGCCGTCCTGGGACATTTAAAAAAAACTGGAAATGAGGGGTGGTTGGGTGCAAGTTGAATGTTCTGACCAGTCTCTCTGATTGCAGCCTTGCCTCACTCACAGAGCTCTCCAACTGTCAGCAGCACCTGCACGAAAGTGCTCTATTTCACTGACCGCTCACTTACACCCTTCATGGTCAATATACCAAAGAGGTAAGAGTCTTGGATCTATTTCTCTTTTTAAAAGGGCAGGAAGGCAGAATCATTAGTTATAGCCCGTCCATCTAACCAGTTTGAGAAGCTGTATGGTGTAGTGAGGAGAGCACAGGGCATAGAGCTTCTAGTTTCAGCTTTACCAGGGGCATTACAAGGGACAGATACAACAGATATCTGCTAGGCACAGATACAACAAATATGCTTCCAATCTTGATATGCAAATAGGCTTCAAGTTAGGAAATAGTTTAAGTGCTCATAATAGCTCCTGCTGATAGCCATGGATTGCTGTCATCGATCTTTGTTACTATTTGATGACTACAACTACTGTATTGAGAAATCATATTAAAAGAAACTTCAAACTCTGGGCCAATATACTCCCTTTAACTAAGGTTAAAGGCTCTGATATAAATATTTAAGCTGTGGAACCCGCTACTGAGAAAAGTGACAGGATTTCTCTTTCTTAGAGAGTCTGCTTTTACTTGGTCTGGGTTAGAAGGGAGTTCAACAAATTAGATTTCAGAGACCTTATGTCTTTTATCCAGAGACAAGGAAAAGAGTGATTTGGCTGTTGCTGAATAAATCTATTTTAAATTTTCAGATCACCCCATTTGTAATGCCATTTTTATTCCCTAATGGTGACTGGCTCACTAACCTCTGCTTTGTAGAATCATCTGGATTATAAGGGGCAGTGACCTAACAAAACCAAGCTATTTCTGCCACAGGAGACCTTGGCAGGGGCCTGGGGTTAAAGCTAGCCTTATCTTTCCAACCTGATGATAAACAGTCTATTTTAGAACTCTATTTGTTGCAGGTTGGGGGAGGTGACACTGAAGGATTTTAAAGCAGCTATTGACCGAGAAGGGAATCACCGGTATCACTTCAAAGCACTGGATCCTGAGTTTGGCACTGTTAAAGAGGAGGTACAGTCTTCTTGGGGAGTCTGGGTGGTATTATTGGTCATTCCTGAACCCTAACGCCTTCTACTCAAGGACTAGTATCCATAAGTAAATACCTGAGTCCTCTAACCAGGTCAGAGGAACTTCCCAAAGCCTCAGACCAGTCTGACTACTGTAGACTGAGAAGGTCAAGGAGTGGCCCAAGAAGTCTTTACTTCAAGGACTTAATTATTTTGACCAAACTTGTATAGAATTTTTTATTTTATTTTATTGATTTTTCACAGAGAGGAAGGGAGAGGGATAAAGAGCTAGAAACATTGATAAGAGAGATACATCGACCAGCTCTCTCTTGCACACCCCCCACTGGGGATGTGCCCGCAACCAATATACAATGACCAGAATCGAACCTGGGAACTTTCAGTCCGCAGACTGACGTTTTATCCACTGAGCCAAACCGGTTTCGGCTAGAATTTTTATTTTAAGAAAAATAAAGAACCTGCGATTGAACAAAAGCTTGGCTTTGGGGTTCCTTTTGTATCTATAGTCAAATCTTAGGAAAACGTTCTGCTTCCTATGTAGAGCAAAATAAAGAAATAGGAATATAAAGCTGTAAATAGAGGTGGTATTTTCTCAGATATGAAAGTGAGGAACTTCTGAAAAGTCAACTGTACTTATTCTTAACTCCTTGATTATTTTTTTAGCTTGTGCTTCTCTTTATAGTCCCTCTGCTAAAAATAGACTTTCTTATGGAAAAGCGTTCTAGGTTATGAGGCATACTAAGTGCTTTCATTGTAGTTATAGGATGAAGAGGGTTGGGAAAGCCAGTATTTTATTTTGTAAATAGTTCCTCACTGAAAAATTTTTTAAAATATATTTTTATTGATTTCTGATAGGAATGGAGAGGGAGATAGAAACATCATTGATCAGCCAAAACCGGTGTGGCTCAGTGGTAGAGCGTCGGTCTGTGGATTGAAAGGTCCCAGGTTAGATTCCGGTCAGGGGCATGTACATTGGTTGAGGGCATATCCCCGGTAGGGGATGTGCAAGAGGCAGCTGGTCGATGTTTCTCTCTCATCGACGTTTCTAGCTCTCTCTCTCCCTTCCTCTCTGTAAAAAATCAATAAAATATATTAAAAAAAAAAAAAAAAAAGGAAACATCATTGATCAGCTGCCTTCTGCATGCACCCTACTGGGGATTGAGCCTATATCCAGGGCATCTTTGTTTCTATTTGATGACTATAACTTACTGTATTGAGAAATCATATTAAAAGAAACATGTGTCCTTGACTGGAATCCAACCTGGGACCCTTCAGTCTGCAGGCCAGTGCTTTCTCCACTGAGCCAAACTTGCTGGAGTGCTTTAATAACCCTGTCCTATTAGTCACTCAGTAAATGAATTGAATGAATGAAAAGAACTGCATGCAAACAAGTTAAGATTCTTCTTTCTGACCAATTTTCCCCCCATTCTTGTTTTAATGTTTATACTGCTGCTTTCTCCTAAGTGCTTTAATAACCCTGTCCTATTAGTCACTCAGTAAATGAATTGAATGAATGAAAAGAACTGCATGCAAACAAGTTAAGATTCTTCTTTCTGACCAATTTTCCCCCCATTCTTGTTTTAATGTTTATACTGCTGCTTTCTCCTAAGAAGCCTAATGTATGGTTCCTAATTTATGAATTCTTACCATATATATTTCTGTGAGCAAAGCAGTGTTAGGGATGCTCTTATCATTTTATACATGTGGAACTAAGTAATTATATATATAATTTTTTTTTACCCGTTATAACTTTAGGGACAAAACCAAAGGGACATAAACTCTAACTCTCAAACTCAAAGCTTTCCTCTATACTTTTTCTTTTGCTATTCCTCACCCGAGGATATTTTTTCCATTAATTTTTAGAGTTGGGGAGAGAAGAGAGACATTCTCATATGAGAGACATCGATTCGTTGCCTCCTGCATGCACCCCAACCAAGCTTGGGATCAAACCTCCAACCCAGGTACATGCCCTTGACTGAGAATCAAAGCCACGATCCTTTGGTGTGCAGGTCAACACTCTAACCACTGAGAAACACTGGCCAGGGGTCCTCTATGTTTCTTATCCTTCATATTTGAGGTCTTGTTATTATCAGCAGCAGTTGGTTAGTGAGACTTCCTATCTTACTGTTCTTTTTTCATGATGGCTTTTTTTCTTTCTCTAGGTTTTCCATGATGATGATGCCATCCCTGGATGGGAAGGGAAAATTGTAGCCTGGGTAGAAGAAGACCGCGGGGAGAATTAATTCTAAGGATTAGATTTGGACTGGCGGAACTTGGCATGCCCTGGCTGCTTCACTCAGGAACGAGAACTAAAACTGGGATACCCTACAAAGTTTCTAGTTCTTGCTGCCAAAAGAGAAGCTTGTCCAAGTGTGACAGCCACAGGCCAGTCGTTTCTGTGCCTGGTGTATGTCCAAATGTAGACCATGAATTCATCTGGAGTTCCTTGTCCGTGGGAACACAGTGTTTTATTCTACTCTGAGGACAACAAACCGAAGGCCTTAACCAATAGGATGGACGATTTTGCTCCTGTAGGGGCATGGCTGCTACTATCTGGAACCTGGGAATTGGATGCCTCACTCTGCTGTTATTTCAATTGGTCTCAGTGGTTGCAGCAATCAGAGTCCAGCAATTGTACTCACAGGCAAGGCCAAGATACCAGCTTTTTTGCTTCTTTGCAGCTATTACAAACCAAGAATAACTCATGGAGTGGTACCAAAGACGAAAGCCACTCTTCAGGAACCTTTTGGACTGGACATGGATGGTACTGAACTGTTAGTTAGATGGAAAAAGGGCTGCCCATATTTGTGCTATATTGTGCTAAAACCAGAATTAAGTAAGACCTCGGGCTGCCTCTTGTGTCTTAACTGGATCTGCAACTTGTCCTTTAGCCCACAGGGCATAGTCCATGTACTGCTAGTTTTCTCTGGGGACTCTTCAATTTTAGAGCCATTTTTCCCCCTTCCAACTGATGAATTTTATATTTGAAAGGAATAAGGAGTGAAAGGCTCCTTAAAAATCCAGGCGGGTATGGAAAGGTGCTGCTACCCATATCTTCTTTCTTTCTCATGACTTTCTTTAACTCATGGCATCTCCTTTGCAATTAAAAGGAGACAGACCATTAATTTCAGTATTTGTGGTTTATGAAGTATTGAGCATGAGTTACTGATCTGCCCTTCTTTAGTTCAAGGCCGGAGTTATGTTCTCATATATTTAGTCCAGGCTGATCCTTTAGGGCACAATAGAAACCATGGGGCATGGAGCATGAGTTGTAAATGGCAGGGCTGATTCTGGGTGAAAAAACCTAGAATCCTCTCTCATGTGTAACACAGTCAAGTGTAAAGTTAAAAAAAATTGTTAAATTTCTAGAGATTACCCAATAACTTGGGTTTTTCTCATTCATTCATCAAACACTATCAACCAGCCATCGAGAGAGACAGAGAGAGAGACAGAGAGAGACAGAGACAGAGAGAGAGAGAGAGAGAGAGAGAGAGAGAGAGAATATGTTTACCTTCCAAAAGCAGTCTGCCTGTGACCACCAATGTACACTGCCAACCAGGAGAGTTGGGCAGGTCAGTTCTGGGTTCTTGACCTGTCTGCCTCTAGTTCATCTTCCCTTCTCTGCCATTTCAACTCACTCATTGGAGTTCTGAGGTGACATTTTGTTGTTTTATAAGGATGTGTTTGGAGAATTCTTTTGTACTCACTTGCTTTTTTGTCTGAGAACCATGTCTATTTTTATAATGAGTGTGATTTCTGTATATTCTCACGTTCTGTATACTGTGTCCATTGTCTGGAGAACCCAGTGGCTTTTATATGGGCTCTTCTTATCAGCCCATCTGGTTTCCGAATGAGCTTTATTTTATTACAGGCATACTAATGATAACTCACTCCTGTTCCAGTTCTACCTGTCATAGTTGTGGAGATGGTTTTACATAATCTATTTGATAGTTCTTCTAGCAGACAGGAGATCAAAAGACACCTGATGTCTTCATGTAAGTTTACCTGGTCTTCTATTTGAAGGATGATTTTTCATCAGAAATGATTGAAAACTTGGGAAAATCAGTCATAAGTAAGAGTAATTCATTATGAAAGCACCCCGGTATATTGTTTATTTTTCCCAGGAAGTCTGGAGAAAAAGTCCTAATGTCACTAATTTGTCTGTTGCATGGATTTTAGTGTTTGCTATAAGACAGCATGAGGGTTATCAGGCCAAAATTCATTACTGTATTTCCGGTACAATTTACCTTGAGTGTCTGTCTCTTAAATCAGTTTGTACTTGTCAGTTTTCTTTCAGCAAACATTCTTACCATCATGTAGAATCTACCCTTTCAGAGAAAATTAAATCAGAGCAAAATTTCAAAGTTCTCTAGCTTGTTTTTTTTTTTTTTTTTTTTTTTTTTTTAATGTCCTTTGGAAAAGGCGCTGCATGGCCTTAGTGCCTCCATAGAAAGCAGACGTTGAGTTCAGGGGAGAAAATGAGATAATTTTTTCCCTTTAGCTTATGCACTAAGCACCTCCGTTACAGGATGTCACTCAAATCATTCTTGTGTAAAATGTGTTGGGGCGGAGTGTGCATTGATTCATGCTGGTGTGAATAGTCTCCTTTTGGATACACTGTGGCTGTACTCTAGGAGGTCTCTTGACTTTCACAAGTAGCATCCCCTATCAGTGTGGGGCAGTCCATCCTGCGACTGCTAAAGTTCTTTCTTTGAGAAATCTAAGGAACTAGAATGTTTAGAGTTCATAAAATCATCTCTATACCCTGTGAGATATTTTAAAATGATCCTCTTAGACAAACTAGTCTATTCAAAAGCTCAATTCCTTTAAAAGTTTTCATTTAAAAACGGAGTACCATGCTTAGTTCCCTAAATTAGCTGAAAGTGGAACACTTTACAATTTGTACCTAAATAATTCAAATTAAATTCACTGGGAAATGACAGTCCTACTTACTGACCAACTTTTCAGCTTTTTTTGTCCAGGATGATTATAAATTAGGGAAAACATCTTATGCTCTATATCCAATCCAAGAGGACTCTAAATTACTTAAAAATCATTTAGGTCACAATCATTTTCAATTTTTTTCCTATAAAATAGCATTATGATTGCACACTTCTTTTATTGTTTAAATTTATGTAAGAGGAATAGCTTGCTTAAAATATATATGTAAAATTATATTTTCTTAGAAACATGGATGTTTGCAACCATTGCTTTCAAAGAGATTACCATGTATTCCCTCGGTTTTACAATGTTTTCATAAAGACCGTGGTTATAACAGAGGCTTCTGATTATCAAAGTGATAACCAGTTTTAACTGCCTGTTTATACAAGATCTATGAATAAAAAATAAAACACAAAACACACACCAAGCTATGAATAAAATGGAATTTGCAAACCAAATACTATTAACCATTTTCACTTGTGTTTATTGACTGAAAGGAATCAATAAGCAATTTACATTTAGTGAAAGTAAACTTCCTCAAGAGATCTCCCTGGTAGCATGTTTACTCATTACTTGAGGAGTGGAGATAAGGACTACTTTATGGCTACAGATAATTTTACTATTGGTATTTCCAATGTAAGCACAAAACATTATTATAAAGGAGAATTTATTGATTTAGCACATTTTGAAACTATAAATATGCAAACAAGAATGCAAACCATTTTAGAGTTTTGAGTTTTCCTTTTCTTTAAATTCCTTTACCAATCTGTTTAGGGAAATTCAGACCTATTCTCTCAGGACTGATTTGAGGAATGTAAGAATTCCTAGCCTATCTCTGGGGTCAACTTATTATCCCAGGTCTGTTTGACCTGTGCCCTCCTCTGATTTAGCTAAACCTGTCAAAAGTAAATTCAGCCCTAACCAGTTTGGCTCAGTGGATAGAGCGTCGGCCTGTGGACTAAAGGGTCCCGGGTTCGATTCCAGTCAGGGGCATGTTCATTTGTTGTGGGCACGTCCCCAGTGGAGGGGTGTGCAGGAGGCAGCTGATCGATGATTCTCTCTCATCGATGTTTCTTCTGCCTCTGTTCCTCTCTCTTCCTCTTTGTAAAATCAATAAAACAACAACAACAAAAAAACCAGCCATGGCTGACATCAGGACCAGATGCACGGAATGACCCCCTGCCCTGGTGCTGGCCACAACACTGAGTGGGCAAACCTGGAAAGCTACTGAATATTTCATTGAAATCCTCTCGTGGGACCTCCTCTAAGATTCTTAGGATGGAGAACCCAGGGGTGCTCTCCTATCTGGAGCACGCCCAAGCTTTTCCCTTCCCCGTTCTCCGCCCGGACCAGGCACATTGCCCAGGCAGTTTGGCTTTGTAATAGAACATTTACTGGGTAAATCACAGATGTAGGAGTAATTCCTAGAATAAATGGGCTTAGAAGACAACTTATGGAGGTAAAGGAAGGGCCCTGAGAGCTTGGGAGTGAGGAAGCTAACGGTAGCATGCCTAGGGCAGGGACGGGGAGAGGGTTAGGGAAAGGTATGGGGGTATTCCCAGGAGAAGGAGTGCAGTGGTTCCTCTGTCCTAGGGGTTTTAAGGGTGGAGATTTCAGGGGAGGGCCCAAGAGATCTTAAAATATTTTTGTTTTCTTGTTTTTGTTAATATTAAGCAGTTTTCTGCTTGTGTCCTTTCAGGGTTGTGGTCTTCACTGACTGACTGATGGGCACCAGGGCATTGGCTCAGTGGATAGAGTGTCGGCCCTAGGACTGAAAGGTCGGAGGTTTGATTCCAGTCAAGGGCACATACCTCAGCTGCAGGCTCCCTGGCCCTGGTCCCTGATTGGGGTGTGTACAGGAGGCAACCAATCAATGGGTCTCTCTCACATCAATGTTTCTCTCTGTCTCTCCTTCTCCCTTCCATTCTTAAGAAAATCAATGGGAAAATATCCTTGACTGAGGATTAATAAAAAAAAACCAAAACACAAAATCAAAGCAGTTGATTCTAGATCAGCGATGGCTCATTTAGCTTATTTCTGGAGCTAAAATATTACTGAAGCCTCAATGTCATCTCTAGGAAGGAAAGGTAGGGAGCGGGTGACTAGGGAGGAAAAGTCCCCCAGAACGAGGTCCCACCCTACAATTGATTGTCCTTTCCACCCTGGTGACCTTCTGTACCTGGCCCATCGTCCTAACTCTGCTCATGTCTAACTGCCTACCACAGAAGTATATATTTTAGGCAATTCAAAATCATTACTGTTAACGTAAAAAACACACAAAAACCTATAAGGAACTTTTCTGAGTTTATTTGAGCCAAACTGTCCACATATGCTGGGAAGCAAAACCTCAATGAATTGAGATAATGCTCTGGAGAATGGAGGGTTACATCTGTATTTATACATTGCCATCAAAGGAAAGGGATATAGTTGGGTTACATGAAATCCATAGAGAGGATGGAGAAAGCAAAGTAGGCAAACCCTTGGGATTGGATAAGAAGTAAAAAGATAGACAAGTACGAGTGCAGAGACAATTAACATAACAATGAAGGAATTTGTGGTATCTGTCCTGGAGCCCAGGTTGTGCCCCAGAAAAAGGGAAGTTACAAGTTACCCAGGCATTTCAAGGGTGTGTTATCAAAGATGCAAAAAGACAGGCTCAGTTAAGATCAAGGTTGACTTTGTCTGGGAAGATACCAGCTGAGGACGTGGTGCTTTTGGTTAAACTTTAATTTCAGACCACCCTATGTGGTTACTTTAGGTCTCTGAGTTTGCAGGCCTTCCCTGAGCTTGCCAGGTTAGCAAGTGGCACCTTTCGTCCACATTACATTTTTGTAACGATTTGTAAAATTATAAGCCCTTTCACCAATCACAATTATTCCACTGATTCTTTCAATTGTTATTTTTTACATAATTTAACAAAATGATTACTCTACTCTAAATATTACTTCAAATATGCCTTTCCACTTAATCTGGACATTTTATACAGTATTTTTCAACTAGATTGCCTGCATATTATTTTGTTAGGCAGCTGTGCCTGCTTAGTCTTTTCCTCATTTTTGTATATTTTTCCATTTCTTTTTGTTATAAATGAAATATGGTAGCACTCATACTTGGGTAAGAACTGCTGTTTGAATTTTAACCTTGCTATCTGACTTCGACCTTCGATTGCTTGCTTGAACAATAGGGTAGTTGCAGGAGATTGACTCCCACTGACTCAGTAGCTTCAGGGGTAGAAACTGTAGATAACCTTTAGTTCTGCTTTTGTATTATGGGCAAGATGGGGTCACATTCCAGTGTCAAGCAGGGTGTGACTGGGAACCTACCCTGCTGGCTGTCCCCAGTCTTTAGAATTTAGTCTTTAGGATTTAGGAACAGACAACTGATTGGCCAGTTCTTTGTCCTGAGGGGCCAATCAGGGTTAGCCGAGGCAGTGACATCACCGACCTGAATAAAACTCCTGAACTGGGCGAATTTCGCTCTCTTCCGCCATGCTGCCAGCATGAGTGGGACAGGGCCCATGCTAGCATGGAGATGGCTCTTTTGTTTATTGCATCGGACTCGGCTCCCTGGTGGTCCTTGGGGATCATGACTGGAATCCCCAGCCAGGACCATGAGGGACCCCCATTCTGAAGAGCCTGACTGGCCGCGGTAGGTGTGTGTTTGTCTGTGTTTTTGTGTGAGCGCTCTGGAGGGACTGCCCCTCCATCAGGGCTCTTACCTGGGTGTTTACTGGCTGCTGCGTCAGCCATGGTTTGAGTCCAGATTCGAATCTGTAATAAATTCTAGCATGCTTAATCAAATTGGCTCCGGTGGTCCATCTCTTGGGGACTCGCTTCGTAACAATAAAGATACTGAAACCTTTTCCCCTTGTTTTGAATGCCTCAAGGACACTAGAATAGGATTTTTTTTGAGAGATTATGTAAACATTTTTCCTATTATTTCAAATTACTATATTGCTATCTCTAAAGCAACCAATAGTGCCCCCAAAGGAGATCATCTCTGTCTGCAATCTCATTAATACTGTTTTTTTGACTTTTGTAAAACAGTACCTCCTGGCTGCTTTAATTTTCCAAATGTTTAATCACCAGCAAGGGTGAACATGTTCATTCCAAATGTTGCGGTTTCCTCCTATTCGTTGTGTTCTTGGTGTTCTCTGACCATCTCCAGGGATTTAAAAGCGATATAAATAAATACTGCACTTGCTTCCTTCTAATCTAATGTCACTCTCAGCTCAGAAGTGAGATCTTTTCTAATTATAGGATGATATTCCGACAGTAAATTGTACCTACCAAATGCAGATAACTTTCTGTTCATTCAAGGCGTGCATTCAGCCCCCAGTTTACCAGATCCTGAGCTATATGGGAAGACTCCCAAGAACAATATAGACACGTCTCCTACTCATGGCCTTAGAGTTTAGTTTTAGGACAATATAGTTCAAGCATCACAAGTATTCTTCGCGCTTTATTAGGGATTCTACGGTACAACAGCAATGGACACGGGTTTTGTATCGTCACACAGGGTTAGTCCTGCTACCGAGCACCTGAATGTGGGCATGTACCTTCTCCTTGGCTGCCCTTCACGCCCTTTGGCTGGAAAACTAGTCCACTCCAGTCTCCGGTTGGGCTACAAACCTGAAATGAAATGAAATGTCACACACACACACACACACACACACACACACACAAAAAGGGCGGCGCGGGACCACGGGGCACCCTCGGGCGGTGCCTGCCCCTCGGGGCGCGGCCCAAACCCCGCCCTGGGCCTGAGGCTCCGGCGCCCGTCGGTCCTGCCGCTTTCCTGCCTCTGGTCACTCCCCTCAGCCCACCTCCCCGGACCACGCCGCGGTCAGCCCGGCCCCCGCCGCCGGTCCAGGCCTCCCCCGTTAGGGCGCGCCCTTCCTCTCGCCGGGCCCGTCCCGCCCGGAGGCCCCTCGGACCCCGCCGCCTTCCGCTCCTCTCAGCGCCTTCCCTCTCCCGGCGCCGGCTCCGCTCGGCTCCCCGCCCCGTCTCCCCGCCCCTCTTCGGGCCACCCTCTCCCCGGCCCGGGTGCGAGGGGCGGGGCCGCGCGGCTGCGGAGCCCGTTTACGACAACGTGCGGCGGCGCGGCGTGGCTGACGGCAGCGCCGCGCCGCTCTCGGGGAGGTCACTCCGGAGACGGCGTAGGGCTGGGGGCGTTGGGTCGGTGGGACGATGTGGCGCGTCTGTGCGCGGCGGGCCCGGGATGCGGCTCCCGGGGCGGGGCTCGGGGCTCGGTGGGCCGCCCTACGGGAGGGGCCGGGGGCCCCGATCGTCGCCCCGCGGGGCGGCCCGGCTCCGGTCCCGGTCCCGGCCCCGGCTCGGTGCCGCAGCGCGGCCCCCGGGTACGGCGGAGTCCGCTCCGTCTGCGGCTGGCGCTCCGGCCCGTGGACCGCGCCGCGGGGCCGCTTCCTGCTGCCGCTGTTGGGGCCGCCGGGCCGCCGCAGTT